AGGCCCCCCGCTCTATGAAGGTTTTGGGCGCTTAATGTGCTTAGGGTTTAGGGGTTTAGGCTTAGGGGTTTAGGGGTTTAGGGGTTTAGGGGTTTTAGGGGTTTTAGGGGTTTTAGGGGGTTAGGGGTTTAAGGGGTTTAGGGGTTTAGGGGTTTTAGGGGTTTAGGGGTTTTAGGGGTTTAGGGGTTTAGGGGTTTTAGGGGTTTAGGGGTTTTAGGGGTTTAGGGGGTTTAGGGGTTTGGGGGTTTGGGGGTTTAGGGGTTTACGGGTTTAGGGGTTTAGGGGTTTTAGGGGTTTGGGGGTTTAGGGGTGTAGGGGTTTGGGGGTTTGGGGGTTTGGGGGTTTGGGGGTTTGGGGGTTTGGGGGTTTGGGGGTTTGGGGGTTTGGGGGTTTGGGGTTCGGGCTTTGTGCTTTGTGGGCGTTTTCGATGTTAGAGGGCTTTGCAGGAGCTGCAGAGCTATGGTGGTTGCCCGAGGTATTTTCTTGGGACTTCGGTCTTGGTCTTTGGGGTAGGACTTGAGGTTTCCGGAGTTACAAGACGAGCTTTTCTTCTTCCTGTACATGTGCTACAATACTCGTTGGCGATTCAGCTCCAAAGCCTTGCATCTTCAGCAAACTTCCTCTGCCCTCCCTTCCCTCCCCTCCCCTGCCTGCTCTCGCCCTCAACCCCCTCACCCATTTCGGGCTCAGAGTTTGCCAGCACAGGCCAGGAGGGGTGCAGTGGCGCGCCGCAGTGTGGCGTCTTGGCACAGGTTGATGGGTGTTTGCTCCTTGGGGTTTGGTGTTTACTTACTCTGAGCCCGAATCCAAAAACCCCTATATCTGGAGCTGGGCCTTCATATGAGCGTTCAGCATGGGGTTCAGGAGCTCGGTCGAGAACGGTGTGCGGCGCCATGGCCGCTGAGTAACACTTCTTGGCGAAGGGCAAGACTGAATGTAGGAAATTCGGTTGAGGAGTCCAGCGTTAAGAGTTTTAGGTTCTCAGAATCCCTCCAGGAACCTTTAGTTGCTGGAAACCCTAAGCCCTCCAGGCCTTAAATGAAGACCTCAAGCAAGCGGAAGTTCTCCAACCAAGCCGCATAATCCCCGACCTACTGCCCTGCACCCGAAACCTTACAAACTCTCAAACCCTAAACCCTAAACCCTAAACCCTAAACCCTAAACCCTAAACCCTAAACCCCAATCAAGCCTGAGCACTAGGAACCTCAACTCCTCGAGCTCCAGGCCGGTTCCCAACTCGCAGGGGTCTGGCGGCCTGGCACACAAGCCGGGCCAGCGAGGGCCAGGAGCCGGAGAAAAGAGCTTAGCTGAGTTTTATGGGTTTAGGGTTTACGGTTTAGGGTTTAGGGTTTAGGGTTTAGGGTTTAGGGTCGAGTGGTTCAAGGTTGGGGCGGCAAGGAAACACATGTCTTGAGAACCGAAAACACAGAGGAACACATTCTTGAAGAGCTGAACGATTGGCAGCAAAGTTATCTTCTGATGGGAGCCGTTAGAAACGAACCAGCCCAACAACGAGCCGAACCCAGACACTCTGGAACCTCAAAGCCTCTACAACTCACTGCCGAATTTGGAACCCTAAACCCTAAACCCTAAACCCTAAACCCTAAACCCTAAACCCTAAACCCTAAACCCTAAACCCTAAACCCTAAACCCTAAACCCTAAACAGCAGGAGGCTTGCTGCTGCGCTGCGGCCCGGCGAAAGTGCCAGGCCCGCAAGCCGTGCACTAAGTTGGAAGCTCGGGTGGTAGGTTTATAGTAGTCCAGTGCTTGAAGGCTCATCAGGTGTCACTCCTGTCAGATGTTAAACCCTAAACCCTAAACCCTAAACCCCAAACCCAACACCCTAAACCCTAAACCCTAAACCCCTACGCCCCCTAAACCGTTTTTGGGCCTTGGATTCAGTATGTCGTGGGTGGACAGTGTAGAGTTTTGGTGAACCTCAGGTGTCAGCGGGGCTCCAGCGCATCAATCCCCTCATCACTGAACCGAGTTTTTGGGGGGATGCTTTTTGCATCAGGGCTGCTATCTCTCCGAGTCTAGCTGGTGCAATCAGGGCGAAAAGTTTCGCGCTTCTGGCTTAGAGATCTTGAGAAGTCTTCATTTCCCACACCCAAAGCCACAGAAACCCGATATCCTCTGAACCCCAAAGCCTTTAAACCCCCGTGCTGTGAATTGCTGCAACCCTCAAAAACGAGCCGGCGCAGGCGGCGTGAATGGCGGCACCCACTGAGCCTTGCGAAAGCGCAAACGCCCCAAAACGCTGGCTCGATCCTGCAGCTTCTGGCAGGGTTGAGGGTGTGTGGTTTAGAGGTACAAGCACCATGGGTATGGGGGCGTATAGGGGGTAGCACAAGCTGGCATTCTTACGTTCAGATTGGAGGGCCTGGTTACCATCAGCTCATGCCGCAGACACTCAGGGTTTAGGGTTTAGGGCATGCAAAAGCTCTGCGGCTCTGCTTGACTCGCTTCGACGCGGCTCCTCTTGCCCAAGTCCTTTGCTGCCCGCGGCTTTTGAAGCTTGCGCTCCATGTGCCAACTCGCTTCGCGTCTTGCGCGCTTCTGTGGTTCGCGCCGTAAACTACGCCGTTAAGCATCTTGTCGCTTGCCCCTCGGGCTCGAGGATGCGTTGTGGTATCGCTGGGCCACAAGCCTTTAAGCCTCAAGTTGCCTCGTGTCTTCCTGGGCCTTCAGTTTTCTCCTTCTGTCAGGAAGCAGGTCCTGAGACCGCCGATTTGCGATGAAAATTTCCCGCCCGAGAATGTTACAGCAAGGAGCTGTCGTTCGAGCAGGAGCTCACTTAAGGCTGAGTTTCCAGGAACTAGGTGCCAATATTGGGTCCATTGAAGACGGCCGGGCTCTTCCAAAGCGGATGCTAACCTCGAGGAGATTGCGCGGGAGCGGGCATGAGGGCCATCCGTTCGTGAGGCTGGGCTGGTATACAGCTTGTTGTTTACGGTTGGGGAGTGCCTAACCCGAAGCGGCGCATGGAAAGAGAATGTGAGAAGCTAGCCGCGAAAGGGGAGTTCAACTCTTTGGCGAACAGCCAACGCACACAGCCGGCCATGCAACAGGTCTCAATGGTCGACATCTCGTGGTAAACGCCGGTGAAGCCCCCAAAGTCTTCCGAACCTGACTGTGAAGTCGCCGTCCGCAAGCTGCAAGCTCCAGTTCCTCGACACCTTCGTAGGCTGATGTATAGGGATCAAGGACATGGCGTTTTCCTGTGGACTCTGCGATGCTGGGCTCAAGTAGCATAGCTGTCGCCACCCTCCTCGTGCCATCGCGGGAACCAGCGATCTCGGAATGGCGAACAAACCCTGCCCAACAGGTCGGTTCCCCAAGACCTTTGCAGTGTAGAAGTCTACTTTAAGTTGCGGTTCCGGCCTGTGAGAGCCTGGGAAGCCTGGGCCCTTTGGCGCAAGCAGGTGACTGAGGAATCGAGGCGCCACCGAAAGGTGGCGCAGCTGACGCCCCCGAGGCTTGGCAGCTCGATGGACGTGTTGTCGGTGCTTTTGCTGTCAATCAGCATCGTCAGCGGTGTGGCGGGCGGTGGTTGGTGGGGATTGAGCTGGGAGTCGCGAAGTTGGCTGTCCTGTAACCCTTAACCCCAAACAACCCCAAGACCCAAACAACCCTAAACAACCCTAAACCCTAAACAACCCTAATTAAACCCTAAACAACCCTAAACCCTGAACCCTAAACCACTCTAAACCCGAAACCCCCCAAGAGTTGAATCCTGCAGGAGGTGGCCGAGAGGCGAGGGATCTGCGCAGCGGTCTGCTCGCCTCTTCCTTGCACTCATAGCCCCTGAACCCGCGCACACGCAACAAAAACATAGTTATGTACAATCATGCATTCTCGCACATGTACTTTCATACAAGCATATGCTCGCTTCCTCCCATGATCCACAGCTGTCGCATGGTTGCAAGATGTTGCAAATCAGAGATCGTAAGAGGGCCTTTGATATTCAGAACCTTGTTGTATAAAAACAAGAAGTTTGCTTGATCTTCATAAGAGACAAAAGCTTGTCTCTTGTTCCTGATGAAAAGGAGTACTCTGCGCCGAGTAGGTCATACTTGAGCTGCTACCCTGCATCTTTTGGACACTGACCCCACCCAACGTGGACGCGCGTGTTCGAATGCCTAACGCAGATGAAAGGAGCTAGTTTTCAGACAAGGAAAAATGTCTGAACCATGCATCGGCAGATTGCTATCCAAACATACTTAGATAAGAACAGGTGAGTCAGTGAGTGTTGAAATGCTACATGTTGTGCAGGCCTTTGACACTAGTGTGCTACCTGAACCGTCAGGAGCCTCGTGACGTGGGTTTGGGTCTCCCCGGCCCTGAAGCCTAGACCCTTCAGCATAACCGAAAGATAGCTCGGAAACCTCCTCGTCGCCCCAAAGCTCAATGCCAAAGCTTTGCTGCGGTCCCTGAGGCTGGTCATGTCCATCCCGACCCTCGTGGGTACCTGCGCACGATTTGGCACAGGGCAAGACACCCAATGCCAACCTCTTTGTGTTTCAACCCCTTTTGTCGCTCTGCAACCTAAGGCTCACTCAGGAAGCCCTCAACCCTTTTCATCCGCAACCCTAAAGCGAAACACTCCATCCCCAGACTGCCCAACATCCGCCATCGACAATCCAAGGCACCTGATGTTGGCCCCTGATTGTTGGCTGGTTTTTTCAGATCGCGTGGTATCAAATTGGACGCTTGGCCACGAGCTACCGAGTGAACTGCCAGCCTCTGACTTTTGGAACTGCACTCGTAGGCCACCTTAAACCCCTCAACCCCTAAACCCCCAAACTCTTTAAACCCCTAAAACCCTCCCTGGGCCCGAAGCCTGTTTTTTGTGTTTGCGGCCTTCGGGAACCACTCCTGCTTTTTCTGCTTGGAACATCTCGTCACCCTTTCTTGGTGGGAAAGCTACCAAAGGCTCAACCGCGATGCCTCTTTGTGCCTTATCTCAGGTACCAACATTGAGCATCTCTTCTACGCAATGGAGCTCATGGTGACCAGTGTTCTTGTCCGAGCCTGAGCTGCCTGCGCGCCTGAAGAGTAGAGAGTCGTAGAGTATAGGGTTGTTTTGGGGAGGGTTCACTGAGAGCCGCGGAGGTCACAAACATCTTCCAGTTCGGATGGTGGAGATGCAAGCAGCGCTCGGGCGAGCTGACCCACTGGCAAAGGCACATTGACAGTGGCGTGTGTCTTCTTAGCACGTCTCTCAGCCCTAAGCTGAGCTCTCCGACATTACGTTTTTGACAAGGTGGGATGCCGCATACTACCTGGGCGCCGCCGTCCCCATGAACATCGGGATGCCTTTGGCAGTGGTCCTTATCTACATCGGCGAGTGGGGCAGCCTGGCCGCATTCAGAGAGTCGAGCTGCATCGAGCTGCCCTGACTGAACATGGGATCCCAAGTAGCTTAAGCAAGCGTGGTCCTGCGGGCAAGGCTACCCAGGCTCCAAGATGTGGCATTCCGGCAGCTGGATGCCGAACACCGTACACGGGGTCACCCTCTACATCTTCAAGTGGCTCCTTGCACGCAGCGGGAATCATTGCGCCACGCTACAAACCTTGGCCTCTTTGTTAAACAACGGCTGTCAACCCCGAAACGACCCAAAACAACCCTTGAGAGCGCCTTGCCAGGCTTGGGGTGATTTTTATGACCATCGGTGTATTGAAAGCTACGCAGCTTCACACCAAGATCATGAAGAAGCGCCTTTGCAGCGACCAGAGCTTTGAGTTCAATAGGAGTCGGGGTGGCACGGTTTGGCCCTCTTTAATTAGGGCTTTGGTATAGGGTTGAGGCAAAGGCATCAATAGGGTGCTCCTGGAAACTTGAGTTGATTCTTCTGATGGGGTTTGCAAACCAAAACATGCCGCAAGCAAAACAACAGCAGCAGCAGCAGCGGCGGCGGCAGCAGAAGCAACATCACATCAACAGCATACAACAAAAAACAAAATTGTTCTACTTCGAACATCCCCATCTTAGGGATTTGGGGGTTGGGCATTTCAGGGAGTCTATGGGGTTGGGCCTCTCGGGTTGGGCACTCCAGGAGTCTCTGGGATTGTGCACTCCAGGGAGTCTCTAGGAGTAGACCGGGCGAGGAGAAGAGTTGAGTTTAAACTCCAACAACCCCACACCGAAGGTGGGAAACAAACATGCACAACATTAGAGTCGGGGTTGCATGGTTTAGTCCTCTTTTGGGCTGTGGTAAAGGGTTGAGGCAGGGGCATCAATAGGGTGCTCCTGGAAACTTGAGTTGATTCTTCTAATGGGGTTTGCAAACCAAAACATGCCGCAAGCAAAACAACAGCAGCAGCAGCGGCGGCGGCGGCAGCGGCGACGGCGACAGCGACGGCGACGGCGACGGCAGCAACGACCACCGACCACCGACCACCGACCACCGACCACCGACCACCGACCAACGACCACCGACCACCGACCACCGACCACCGACCACCGACCACCGACCACCGACCACCGACCACCGACCACCGACCACCGACCACCGACCACCGACCACCGACCACCGACCACCGACCACGACCAACAAGACAAACAAAAACAACACATAGCAAACGACAAGCAGCACACAGCAGCAAGCATGTTAAGCCATGCTTTCTGAAAGAGTGAATCTGCCGCCCTCAGTTCTTCAGCTCGAAATGTGGCAGGTCCTGTTGAGCAACCTCCTTAACTGGACCCAGTTCTGCCCTCGACCCTTCAACTTAGCCGAAAGCATTCTCCTGGGGAGCGTGTGTTGGGTCCTGGGCTTTGTGTGTGGTTGCATCATCACCCTTCTCCTGACATCCTCTAAGTGCCGTCAGGTGCTGTGTGTTGTTGCCACTGAGTTCCTTAAGCCCCCTGCCACACCCGTAGTCGAAAGCCGATTGTCTGGATACCGCCGCCCTTAGTGCATGGTTGCGGGCTCCGTGACATCTGCTGGATCTTCGATTCGAGTGGAAGTTGCAGTGGGACCTGCGTCCGCTGAGGCGGAAGCTGACAGAACAACGGCGCCGCTGAGTGGACAGTGGTGGAGGCTCCCCGGCACTTGCGGGATTCTGCTGTGCGGAATCGCTTGGTGGGTCGCCACTCTTCCAGAAAGGGTACCGGCGCTGCCCGTGCGTGGAGGGAGCGCACCTTTGGAGTGGGCAGCTCAGAACTGGACGTTGGGAAGCAAGATTTGGTGCAGCCCGCAAGCACGGGTATACAGAACACCTGCTGATTTGGCGTCAGTGGAACGCAGTTGCCAGAACCTATCTAAGATGCCTTGGCGATTGTTAGGGGTGCGAAGAGCAGCCTCGCTTGAGCTGGCAGAGGGGGGACATCCAGAATGGCTCCTTTTGCGTGGAGGCAGCAGGGAGGTGGCAGTGATGCCAGTGCTGCGCCGAGAGGGGGGCCTCTTACTGGCTATGGCGGTGGAAGCCCTCACGGAGCAGGAGCGCGCAGACCAGAAGATGGAGGGGCTCACAGACGACCTGGGCCCAACCAAGATTGTTGCAGTGGATGGCTTGCCAGAGGACGAGGAAGAGGAGCCGGGCGATGTGGCAATGGTGTTGGTGGACTGGCCTCAGAGTTTGTACAAGTTTTTGCGAACAGCCGGCGGGGCCGAGCCGGCCTGGCCAGAAGCAACCATTTGGCCTCAGTACGAGGACAACCCTGTTTGCCACATCAACACGGATCAGCTTGGGCTCCTGGCACGCGAGTGGGTGCAGACGCAGGAGTCCGCTTTGTCCGAGTCCTACGCCACGGCGGTGGAACCGTCGCCGGCACCTGTGAGGTCAACAGGACAGAAGGACACGTTGCAGCAATTGCTGCAAACAGTGACTGCGCTGCAAGCCGACCTGGCAGACCTGAAGGCTGGAAGGGATCTGGGGGCAGCGCCAAGCGGAGCATTGTCGAGCGGGCAGCCGTCTGGGGCGTTGGCCAAGGCTCAGGCGCTGGTTGGCCCACCTCCCCGATCTGCAGCGCTCCCCAGACCTGCAGTTGGCGCACCCCTCCTGGACTGTGGCGTCCCCGCGGCCGCAGGAACCGGCCTACGCGTCGAGGACGTCGAGGAGGAGGCCGAAGAACCCACTACGGACAGTTTGCTGCGGACAGCTTTGGTGAGTCTGTTGAGCCAGCAGAGCAAGAAGAAGAAGTCCAAAGCTCCGGGCTTGCCTCTGCAGGCCATGTCGGATTCCGAAGGGGAGGAGGAGAGCGACCCCCTGAGGAAGTTGACTGGAGCACGTGGGACAATGTTGGCAGAGAAGTTGCGTATGGCTATGGAAGCCGATCCGCGAGCTTACATTGCCAGCATCGAGACCAATGCCGCCCACCTGCTAGGAGAACAGCAGGCCACGGGCTCCACTATGGAAAGGTATGCCAAGGAACAACTCCCCTTGGGCTCCGAGAGGAGCTTAGGCTACATGACATGGGCCATTGCCAGATGCCTCACGCTGCTCAAGGCCGGGGAGAGCGACAAGTGTCACCTGCTGCTACTGCTGCTCATGGCTGCCGTGGAGCAGTACAAGTTGGACAGCAATTGGGTGGCAGCGTGGCGAATAACCCAACTCACTCAGCCTCCGTTTGCCGAGTGGAAGAGCCGCGAGTTTGCCCTGCCGCAGCTGCGACAGGACCATGCGCACTCGCGACTGATCCACCCTACTTGGGCCGCGGCCATCATTGCAAGGCTCAAGGACGAAGAGACACTCCTCAAGAGGCGCAGTGTCGGAGAGGATTGGAATCGAGGATGGCCCAATCGTCCCAATCCACGCGGTCGAGGCCGAGGCAGAGGCGGTCAAGACGCCAACGAGAAAACAAGCTGAAGGACAGCTGCGACCCGGAGGGTTGCTTGGAATGGGGTGATTTGCCTCATGAGTTGTATAGACTTTTGGGTGCTACGCGCACCAACTTCTCGCGTTTTCTTAGGAGCTCTGTCTCGCAGCGGGGTGTTTTGCGCACTCCGCCTGCCGAGCTTTTGCCATGTCCTGTGCCCTATGCTTGGGTGCAAAGGGCTGAGAAGAGGGGATCCAGGCGCCAGAACCAACGGTTTAAACGGCGACGGGCCCTCGAAGTCCTCATTAACATTCAGGTTTGCGCCCTTAACTTCCTGATCTTAGGCATGCCCCCTAGGTGTCCGCCAACTGGTTGCCGAGGGGAGTTGTCAGCTGAGCAGCATAAGATGGTAACAAGCTTGTGGCACAGGACTAGCTCGGTGAGCCGCCTGGTGGGCAGTTTGGCTTCTGGTTGCGGTTCAAAGATTTCTTCTGTACAGTCTGAATTAGGTGTGTTAGAATCTGTAGTTGACTCCCTTAGGGACGTAGTTTATGGTTCGTCAAAACAAAATTCCACTAGCCCCTCAACTGGAGCACGAACAGAAGTGGTTCCCACGGTCGCGAGTAGAGTGGCCTTCCCGGACAAGTTGCTAGACTTTGACCCGAGCCCCTTTTTGCCGGAACCCTATTTGACTGCTTTTAGGGATCCCTCAAAAATACTACAAGAGCCACTTACCTCGCCACCAGCCTTGCCGCTAACAACTGCCAGAGCTGAGCTCTGGCACCTCTTCTTCCGCTGGGACCGTGCGAACAGACTGTGTCTTGCTCTGGAAGATGAGGTTGATCCCAGTCACGCGTGTAATCTTTTCTGTTTGGCCAAGTCCGATGGTGAGCTAAGACAAATCATTGATAGGAGGCCCCGAAATCGAGTTGAAGCAGATCCGCCCTCAGAAGGTCCAAAAATGGGGCATGCCAGTAGTTTCGTAGATATCCTGATTCCCCCCAATGGTTGTGTTCGGGGTTCGTTGGATGATCTTAGGAACTTTTACCATGCCTTTAAAGTTACTGAGGGAAGGGCGCTCAGCACGCCCGTCGGGCCTAGCTGGAGGGCTGATGATTTCCGTGGCTCACAGGCGCTGACTCGTTTGAAGTGCCGGCGCCCGGAGGTGAATCTAGCTTCGGGTACGCGTGTGTACGCTTGTTTTTCGGGGCTTTCGATGGGAGATAAGTGGGCCCCGGCAATTGCGCAAGTGAGCCACGAACGTTTGCTGCAACAAGCTGGTGCCCTTCAGCCTGATGAGCACATTAAACTTGGCTTCCCTTTGCCGCGGGCCCCTGCGGGCCACTACTCAGGAGTTTGCATTGACGACAAGGTTAGTTTGCAAATCTTCCCGTGCATCGTGCCCATAGGAGCCTCGCCAAAGGATAAGCCGGCACGTGACGCTGAAGCTTGCTCCCAAGCTGATGCAGCCTATGAGGCAGCAGGCCTCGAAACTCATCCGAAGAAGCGAGTTCGTAGGGCCTCGGAATTTAAGGTTTGGGGTGCGCATTTCTTAGGTGATAGTGGCCTGCTGAGCATGGACTGCACCAAGCTTGCGGCGCTCGTCCTCGTTACTGCTCAGGTAGCGAAACTAGGCATGTGTTCAGAGCGTCTTCTGCAAAAATTGCTAGGGCTATGGGCGTTTGCCTTTCAATTCAGGCGTCCTATGTTTGCGCTTTTCTCTGTAGTGTACCACGTTGGCCATCCTGAGGGTTTACAAGACGCTCCATTTAGAATGCCACGCTTGCTGCAGCAGGAGTTGCTTTTAACTGCCGCTCTTGGGATGTTGGCGTCAACGGCACTTAAGACTCAAGTTTGCAGCCATATCTTTGGAACGGACGCCTCCCCCAATGGAGCTGGCCTGATATCATGCCGAGTGGGGCGTAGTGTAGCCGCGGAGTTGTTTCGAAGGGCAGATAAGAGAGGGTTTCACACCAGGTTGTTGAGTCCAATTGGGGCGTATCTTCATGCTAGTGGCCATTGTGTTGAGGAACCTGAGTTTCTGCTTAAGGAGGCACATCGCCCCAGTAGCCCTCCCCCAACACTCTGCGCACGAGCCCCCTCACTGGCAGTGCGTGCTCCGGAGTCGCTGCGTCTCCGCGCAGAGCTGGCTACGCTTTTTGAACGCTTTGTAGCCGCTTGCCTGAGGAGTTCTTCTTTCTCTATCCAGTCCTTCCGGTTAGACTTTGTGGAGCTTTACTCGGGTTCTGCGAAGTTGTCTAAAACCATGGTTGATCAGGGGTTTCAGGTAGGACCGCCGATTGAGTTTAAGGAGGGTTGGGATTTAAGCAGTTTGGATCTGTTTGAGTTCCTTGTGAGCCTCTGCAAAGCGGGAAGGATTGCTCTTTTGTGGGCCGGTCCTCCACGCACGACATTTTCGCTGGCTCGCCGTCCGCCTTTAAGATCATCAACAGAGCCTTGGGGTTTCAACATTTTGGACCATCAAACCCTGATAGGTAACTTCCATCTTCACCTTTGCCTCTGTTTGTTTGTGATTCAGGCGATGCAGGGCGGTGAGGCCTTTGTAGAAACGCCTTGGGGAGCATATTCTCGGAAGTTGCCCTGGTGGGTATTATTGGCAAGTCTCTTTTGTGAGATCAGGTTGGACCAGTGTAGGTTCGGTACACCGTTCCTGAAGCCCACGGGACTTTTGTGCACTTCTCGGCAATATGCTGCTTTAGGGCGGCGTTGTATGTGCAAGGGCCGACACCAGCGCCTGGAGGGCGCTATGTCCACGAAAGCAGCGGCCTACCCTCCGCAGCTCTGTGTGGAGTTTGCGCGCATTTCCGTTGAGCTTGCAAACACCCGAATGCCTTCCGAGACGCCGGGCGACCCCTGCATGGCTGAGCATCCACGGAAGCACGAGCATGGTCTAGGTGACCACCGTATCTCACAGAGGTTTGTAAGTCATCTTTGGTCCACTCATTTGGCTGAAGCGCTACCTTGGAAGGTCATCCGTGCATACAGGTTCAAGCGTCCAAACCACATTAATGTTCTGGAAAGCCATGCCCACATGACTTTAATGCGAGTTGCACCGATGGATTGTCGACTGGTGGTGTGTCAAGATTCTATGGTCACCTTAGGTGCGAATGCCAAGGGGCGTAGCTCTAGCCTGGCCCTGAATAACATTATGCGTAGATCTTTAGCCTACCAGCTAGCCAAGAACTTGTATCCAGTTGGGGTGCATTGCCCAACTTGGGCCCTGCGAGCTGATGATCCATCACGCTCCCGCGTAATTCGACCACCTCGGTCTCTTGTGCCTGCCTGGTTCTTTGCTCTTAGGCGAGGAAATCTTGCAGAAGCCCAAGATGAGTTGGACAGGGCTTCAGACACCGCCAGGTCGTTGGGACGTTGGCTGCTGTTCGCGAGCGCTGCTCTTTTGGCTAGTAGTGGCAACTACAGGACGGTTGGTGCATGGGCCAAGACCTCCCAATGCCCCACGGAACCGTCTAGAGCTCGAGAGGGGCGCAGTGACGCAGAAAACAGCTGTCCTCAGACAAGGCCTGCTCCTGCAGTTTCAACAATGGTTGGAGGAACAGAATCCCGAGGGGATGCCTCTTGCAGAGCTGGCTGCTCAGCAGCCCATCCAGCTATCACTCCAGCTGGAGGAATACGGCAAGCACCTCTACGAGTCAGGAGGGACAAAACGGACCTTTGCCGAAACCATCAATTGCGTAGTCCAGAGATACCCCTTCCTGCGTGCCATGATGGCAGGACCGTGGCGACTTCTGACAACTTGGGAGACACTCTGGCCTGGCAAAGTGCACCCGCCGATGCCCCTGCCATTGTTGAAAAGTTTGGTCTCGACCTCCCTGGCTTGGAACTGGCCGCGCTTCGCAGCGCTCCTCTTGATCGGCTTCTACGCCTTGTTGAGGCCCTGCGAGTTCTTGGCCCTCAAGGTGTCCGACTTCCTGACTGCTGCCGACACAGGATGCTCCGAGGCATTCTTCATAAAGCTCATGCTGGTCAAGTCGCGAACACGAGGAGCCCGCATGCAGAGTGTGCGGTTGGATGTTCCGTTTGTGGTGCAGTATCTACAAAGACTCTTTGCAGTAATGGAGCCATCAGAAAAGATTTGGTGCTTCTCCACTTCCCTTTTCCGCACCAGTTTGCAGAAGATTCTCCGCGAAGTCGTAAGGCAAGACTCTCTAGTCGTTCCAAGCTCTCTTAGGCCGGGGGGGGCAACGTTTTGGTTTAGGATGTGGAATGAGGATGTACCTAGACTTCAATGGAGAGGACGCTGGCTACATTTTAAAACGCTGGTGCACTACATTCAGGAATTGGGATGCATCAATGTGATGGAAGCTGTAGCACCGGCATGTCGTACAAAAGTATATGCCTTGGCGAACCTATGCGAGGCGGCTTGCACGGAGTACAGGATGGAGGCAGACCTGTCTTCTCAGGTCCATAGGCTGCTTTGCGCCTGTTCTGCACCTTAAACTTTTCCGCAGTTGCACGGTTGTGTACCCTTTCCTTGAATCTACTCAGCGGGCCCGCCCGCCCTCCCGAAGTGTGTGTTTGGGTACAGGGCATAGCGCAAAGCTTTGCGTTGTGTCTTGCTAAAGCTGTGTGTGACTGTGGAATTCACTTTGTGCAGAGCACGCGAGAAAAGAGAGGGCCGCAGATGGTACGATGAGGCAAGCATGTTAAGCCATGCTTTCTGAAAGAGTGAATCTGCCGCCCTCAGTTCTTCAGCTCGACCTCCTCCGCCCCTCCTCCACAGGGCATAGCGCAAAGCTTTGCGTTGTGTCTTGCTAAAGCTGTGTGTGACTGTGGAATTCACTTTGTGCAGAGCACGCGAGAAAAGAGAGGGCCGCAGATGGTACGATGAGGCAAGCATGTTGTTGCTTGCAGGCCCTGGTGCAACCCTCGATTCCCCAATTGGTTTCTGTACCCCCCCCCCCCCCAAACCCCCAAACAAACCTGACCCCCATGCCCCTGCTCTGCGCCCCCCCCCCCCCCCCCCCCCCCCCCAAGCCCCCCCCCCAATTGCAAGAAAGAGGTGGAGGAAGCTCCGCGGGAGGGACCCGCCAGCCGAGGCACGAGATCGAAAAAGAGCTTCGGAGGCTTTGCGTGTAGGGCCGTCAAGTTGTGGCCTTAGAGCCACACCTGACATCATCATGCTCTTCAGCCCTCGGCCGCCCAAACTACAACCAGCAGTATGATAAGCCGAAGCGGCCAACACATCGAAGTACGTACCCTCACAAGCCCCAACAGATAGACCCCAATCAAGCCCTGAACCCCTACAACCCCCCCCGGTAAGCCCTGAACAAATGCAAATCTACACCTCCATAAACCCCAAGCCCGGAGAAGCGACGCAAGACACCAGAACAAACTCCGCCTTGGCAGCCTGGTAGGTTGCTCCCAGCGCGTAGGTGGAGGAAGGGAGCTGCATGTGCCTTCCAGTGCAAAAAGGAATGTACGGCTTTGAGGTCTAGGGCAAGTCTGGCACTCTTTGTGTTCAGGGCTTCGAGACGACGGCGTAGGGTGGATGCCGCACTTGGGTCGGACTCCTCGACTCCAAACCCCTAAAGATCACACCTTGGCGGCCACCCAGGTTGGAGGGCTTTGTCGGCTTGCACAAGTCCGCCAAGTGCAGCGCGACAGAAAATGATTTTTTGTTGTGGGAGGGGCTGTGTCTACCTCGCTCCTGCATCTGGCTGAGACGGATTTAGGTTCTAGGTCCAGTCGATCTGCTATGGGGAAGAGGTAGGCGCCCTCCTACCGAGATGCGCCTGGCGCGTGTACAGATTTGGCTCGATGCCCTCGGTGCCTCGTGAGGATTTTGTCGGCCTGGAACAAGTCCTCACCAGGCACACGTCCTAGATTCACTGTGACACCCTGGCTCTCAGCAACGGCAGCACAAGGACCCTTTTTTCGTCCCTTTGCTGTGAAAATCTGAAAACAGATCCACTGCGCACTGCGAACTCCTTACTCAGAGCCGGGGAGGAGACCTGGTTGGGCATGGCTGGAGAACCAGCCCCGCCCTTTGGAAGACAATTTTCTGTAGCTTCGGGCTGTTTGCCAAGCTTGCTGGAGAGGCTATACTGCGGCTATACGGTTCATAGTGTCATGGCTTATACGCTTAGGCGCTTGCGCAGCTATCTGCGGCTGACGTTTCAGTACCGAGACAGCAGGCTCAGTGATCTGATGGTCTTCCAAGACCGGTCCAGGACCAATTTCACGCACTAAACAGTGAGAAAGGAATCGTGCTGAGTGGTGGTCCTGGGCAGTGTTGGGCATGGACCGTCAGTGAGTATGTCTGCTGCTCCGGATCTGTTCGCCTCGCCACAGGTGCAGTCAAGCACATGCAGCTTCGCAAACAGCTTGATGCTGGCATTTTTGTCTGACAGATTGGCGTTTTGCCGCACACGGTGGCAGCACCTTTCGGCGCAGCGCAAATTGAGAAATCCGGTCTCCGAAAACGAGCGTTTGGAGGGTCTAGGGTTTGAGGTGGTTCGGGGCTCAGAGACTAGGATCTGCTTGGGATTCTCGGCAATGTCCTGTGTCAACCATTCCTGTGCTCACCCCCGTGAGCCTGAAAGACTCCGTAAAAAAAGGTAAACTCGGTAAACTCTCAATTCCCACCGTCTCCAAGCCCTACACCCTAAACCCTAAACCCTAAACCCTAAACCCTAAACCCTAAACCCTAAACCCTAAACCCTAAACCCTAAACCCTAAACCCTAAACCCTAAACCCTAACCCACCATCTAAAGCTGCCCGGAAGGCCTGAGCTCCTCTCGGAACCATGGTGGCGCCTTGAAGGGCTTGGGGTTAGCAGCGCCTGCAAGTTATGGCGGCATTCGATATGCATAGGTACTATGCTGAGTTGCTAAATCATGTGTAGATATGTAGGGCTGAGACGGGAGTTTGTCGTTTGTTGGGCTGCACTATGCGCCACGAAACGGGTGCCACGAAAGGGGAGTCCAACCCTTGGGGTGAGAGAACACCGGAGAGCCAACGCAAACAGCCGCCCATGCAACAGCTCGCAATTATAGACATCTCTTGGCAAACTGCGGTGAAGCCCCCAAAGTCTTCCGAACCTGACTGCGAAGTCGCCGTCCGCAAGCTGCAAGCACCAGTTCCTCGACACCTTCGCGCACGGGAGTAAAGCTGTAGGATGTAGGCTGAGGTAGGGATCAAGGACACTGTATAGGGGGATCTAAGCTGCTTCGGGAGCCCGCTGCGGCCTTTTTTTGTAGGAACCGCGGCGCGATGCTGGGCTCAAGTTGTATAGCTGTCGCCCGCCTCCTCGTGCCATCACGAGAACCGGAGATCTCGGAATGGCGAACAAACCGTGCCCAACAGGCCGGTTCCCAAGACCTTTGCAGCGTAGAAGTCTACTAAGTTGGGATTCCTGAGCAGGGCCAGCGCTGGAAATCAGTAAAGAGCTTGTGTAGAGCCAGTAGTAGCTTGACAATCGTAGCAGATCATAAGATTCGACAGCTCGAGGTTGTCGAAGCTGCCAGGGACGCTTGACATGGATACGAAGCCGTAACACTTATGCGCGTGACGTGGATGTGCAGTCACATGTACGAAGGTTGCCAGCATCTAGTCAAGCAACTTGCTGCTGCGAGCGCGAGACTGAGCCTACTGCTCCTCTGTCGAGAACCTACCGCCTCCCAGCGATGCCAAGGCCACCAGCCCCAAGCCCCTGATGAACTCAAGCATCTGGCACCTCCCACAACTCAAGCCTGCGAGCCCTTGACAAGCTTCGCTAAGAGACACACCTTCTGTAGTGAGCAGGTGACTGAGGAATCGAGGCGCCACCGAAAGGTGGCGCAGCTGACGCCCCCGAGGCTTGGCAGCTCCGAGCATATTTGGCTTGTAATGTATAATGTCGATTGCAGGCTTTGGGGTTGACTCGATGTGTTGTCTCTGCCGTGTGGCTGGTGGTGGTTGGTGGGGATTGAGCTGGCAGTCGCAAAGTTGTGGTGTGTGGTGGTCGCGATTGGCTGTGCGGCTGGGGGCTGTCGTGTCAAGAACACGAGTTTGCAACGCTTCTATCTCATGGCTTATAACTTATAACCCTAAACCCTCAATAGGCCTAAACCCTAAACAACCCTAACCAGTGAACAACCTTATACCCTAAACCCCCCCAAGAGTTGAATGCAGCAGGAGGTGGCCGAGCGGCGAGGGATCTGCGCAGCGGTCTGCTCGCCTCTTCCTTGCATTCATAGCCCCTAAACCCGCGCACACGCAACCACAAAAAAAAGAAACATCTAAATCTATACAAGTATATACATATACATATATATATATACACACGTATAATCATGCCATACAAACATATGCTCGCTTCCTCCCATGATCCACAGCTGTCGCATGGTTGCAAGATGTTGCACATCAGAGCGACTAAGAGGGCCTTTGATATTCAGAACCCTTGTTTGTATAAACACAAGAAGTTCGCTTGATCTTCATAAGGGGCAAAATCCTTTCTGTTGCAAGGAGTATTCTGCAGCGAGTTGGTCATACTTGAACTGCTACGATGCATCTTTTGGACACTGACCTCATGGACATGCGTGTTTGAATGCCTAAAGGAGCTGGATCTCAGACAAGGAAATATGTGAACCATGCATCGGCAGATTGCTATCCAAACTTACTTGGATAAGAGCAGGTGAGTCAGCGAATGTTGAAAAATCACATGTTGTGCAGGACTCTGACACTAGTGTGCTATGCATGCCCTTTGCGCTTCCAAAAAACCCCGCTACCCGAACCGTCAGGAGCCTTGCAACGTGGGTTTTCTGGCCTCCGGGCCCTAAAGCCTAGACTAAACCCTTCAGCTTAACCGAAAAGGTAGCTCGGAAACCCTCTGGTCTCCCCAAAGCAAAGCTTTGCTGCGGTCCCTGAGGCTGGTCATGTCCATCCCGACCCTCGTGGGTACCTGCGCACGATTTGGCACAGGGCAAGACACCCCAAATCCGGTGTCTTTGTGTTTCAACCCCTTTTTTGTCGCTCTGCAGCCAAAGGCTCCAAAAACTCAGTAAACCCTCAACCCTTTTCGTCCTCAACCTTAAAACGGAAACACTTCATCCCCGGACCGCCGCCCACATCTGCCATCTGCAATCCGAGGTACCTGATGTTGGCCCCTGATTGTTGGCTGGTTTTTTCAGATCGCGTGGTATCAAATTGGACGCTTGGCCACGAGCTACCGAGTAACTGCCAGCCTCTGACTTTTGGAACTGCACCCTTGGGGCCCGAATCATGTTTTTTGTGTTGCGGCCTTCGGGAACCACTCCTGTTTTTTCTGCTTGGAACATCTCGTCAGCTTTTCTTGGTGGGAAAGCTACCAAAGGCTCAACCGCGATGCCTCTTTGTGCCTTATCCCAGGTACCAACATTGAGCATCTCTTCTACGCAATGGAGCTCATGGTGACCAGTGTCCTTGTCCGAGCCTGAGCTGCCCGCGCGCCTGCACTCTGAAAAGTATCGCCGAGAGTCGTAGAGTATAGGGTTTTTGGGGGGAGGGTTTTGAGGGAGAGCCGCGGAGGTCACAAACATCTTCCAGTTCGGATGGTGGAGATGCAAGCAGCGCTCGGGCGAGCTGACCCACTGGCAAAGGCACATTGACAGTGGCGTGTGTCTTCTTAGCACGTCTCTCAGCCCTAAGCTGAGCCCTCCGACATTACGTTCCTCACAAGGTGGGATGCCGCATACTACCTGGGCGCCGCCGTCCCCATGAACATCGGGATGCCTTTGGCAGTGGTCCTTATCTACATCGGCGAGTGGGGCAGCCCGGCCGCATTAAGAGAGTCGAGCTGCATCGAGCTGCCCTGACTGAACATGGGATCCCAAGTAGTCTAAGCAAGAGTGGTCCTGCGGGCAAGGCTACCCAGGCTCCAAGATGTGGCATTCCGGCAGCTGGATGCCGAACACCGTACACGGGGTCACCCTCTACATCTTCAAGTGGCTCCTTGCACGCAGCGGGAATCATTGCGCCACGCTACAAACCTTGGCCTCTTTGTTAAACAACGGCTGTCAACCCCGAAACGACCCAAAACAACCCTTGAGTCCGCTTTGCAAGGCTTGGGGTGATTTTTATGACCATCGGTGTATTGAAAGCTACGCAGCTTCACACCAAGATCATGAAGAAGCGCCTTTGCAGCGACCAGAGCCGTGAGTTCAATAGGAGTCGGGGTTGCATGGTTTAGTCCTCTTTTGGGCTGTGGTAAAGGGTTGAGGCAGGGGCATCAATAGGGTGCTCCTGGAAACTTGAGTTGATTCTTCTAATGGGGGTTTGCAAACCAAAACATGCCGCAAGCAAAACAACAGCAGCAGCAGCAGCGGCGGCGGCAGCGGCGGCGGCGGCAGCCACAGCGACAGCGACGGCGACGGCGACGGCGACGGCGACGGCGACGGCGACGGCGACGGCGACGGCGACGGCGACGGCAGCAACGACCACGACCACGACCACCACCGACCACCGACCACCGACCACCGACCACCGACCACCGACCACCGACCACCGACCACCGACCACCGACCACCGACCACGACCACCAAAAGACACAAAAAAACACACACATAGCAAACGACAAGCAGCACACAGCAGCAAGCATGTGTTGCTGTAGGCCCTGGTGCAACCCTCGATTCCCCAATTGGTTTCTGTACCCCCCCCCCCCCCCCCAAACCCCCAAACAAACCTGACCCCCATGCCCCCGCTCTGCGCCCCCCCCCCCCCCCCCCCCCCCCCCCCCCCCCAAGCCCCCCCCCCAATTGCAAGAAAGAGGTGGAGGAAGCTCCGCGGGAGGGACCCGCCAGCCGAGGCACGAGATTGAAAAAGAGCTTCGGAGGCTTTGCGTGTAGGGCCGTCAAGTTGTGGCCTTAGAGCCACACCTGACATCATCATGCTCTTCAGCCCTCGGCCGCCCAAACTACAACCAGCAGTATGATAAGCCGAAGCGGCCAACACATCGAAGTACGTACCCTCACAAGCCCCAACAGATAGACCCCAATCAAGCCCTGAACCCCTACAACCCCCCCCCCGTAAGCCCTGAACAAATGCAAATCTACACCTCCATAACCCCAAGCCGGGAGAAGCGACCCAAGACACCAGAACAACTCCGCCTTGGCAGCCTGGTAGGTTGCTCCCAGCGCGTAGGTGGAGGAAGGGAGCTGCATGTGCCTTCCAGTGCAAAAAGGAATGTACGGCTTTGAGGTCTAGGGCAAGTCTGGCACTCTTTGTGTTCAGGGCTTCGAGACGACGGCGTAGGGTGGATGCCGCACTCAGGTCGGACTCCTCGACTCCAAACCCCTAAAGATCACACCTTGGCGGCCACCCAGGTTGGAGGGCTTTGTCGGCTTGCACAAGTCCGCCAAGTGCAGCGCGACAGAAAATGATTTTTTTGTTGTGGGAGGGGCTGTGTCTACCTCGCTCCTGCATCTGGCTGAGACGGATTTAGGTTCTAGGTCCAGTCGATCTGCTATGGGGAAGAGGTAGGCGCCCTCCTACCGAGATGCGCCTGGCGCGTGTACAGATTTGGCTCGATGCCCTCGGTGCCTCGTGAGGATTTTGTCGGCCTGGAACAAGTCCTCACCAGGCACACGTCCTAGATTCACTGTGACACCCTGGCTCTCAGCAACGGCAGCACAAGGACCCTTTTTTTCGTCCCTTTGCTGTGAAAATCTGAAAACAGATCCACTGCGCACTGCGAACTCCTTACTCAGAGCCGGGGAGGAGACCTGGTTGGGCATGGCTGGAGAACCAGCCCGCCCTTTGGAAGACAATTTTCTGTAGCTTCGGGCTGTTTGCCAAGCTTGCTGGAGAGGCTATACTGTGGCTATACGGTTCATAGTGTCATGGCTTATACGCGTAGGCGCTTGCGCAGCTATCTGCGGCTGACGTTTCAGTACCGAGACAGCAGGCTCAGTGATCTGATGGTCTTCCAAGACCGGTCCAGGACCAATTTCACGCACTAAACAGTGAGAAAGGAATCGTGCTGAGTGGTGGTCCTGGGCAGTGTTGGGCATGGACCGTCAGTGAGTATGTCTGCTGCTCCGGATCTGTTCGCCTCGCCACAGGTGCAGTCAAGCAGATGCAGCTTCGCAAACAGCTTGATGCTGGCATTTTTGTCTGACAGATTGGCGTTTTGCCGCACACGGTGGCAGCACCTTTCGGCGCAGCGCAAATTGAGAAATCCGGTCTCCGAAAACGAGCGTTTGGAGGGTCTAGGGTTTGAGGTGGTTCGGGGCTCAGAGACTAGGATCTGCTTGGGATTCTCGGCAATGTCCTGTGTCAACCATTCCTGTGCTCACCCCCGTGAGCCTGAAAGACTCCGTAAAAAAGGCAAACTCTCAGCTCCCACCGTCTCCAAGCCCCACACCCTAAACCCTAAACCCTAAACCCTAAACCCTAAACCCTAAACCCTAAACCCTAAACCCTAACCCACCATCTAAAGCTGCCCGGAAGGCCTGAGCTCCTGCTCTCGGAACCATGGTGGCGCCTTGAAGGGCTTGGGGTTAGCAGCGCCTGCAAGTTATGGCGGCATTCGATATGCATAGGTACTATGCTGAGTTGCTAAATCATGTGTAGATATGTAGGGCTGAGACGGGAGTTTGTCGTTTGTTGGGCTGCACTATGCGCCACGAAACGGGTGCCACGAAAGGGGAGTCCAACCCTTGGGGTGAGAGAACACCGGAGAGCCAACGCAAACAGCCGCCCATGCAACAGCTCTCAATTATAGACATCTCTTGGCAAACTGCGGTGAAGCCCCCAAAGTCTTCCGAACCTGACTGCGAAGTCGCCGTCCGCAAGCTGCAAGCACCAGTTCCTCGACACCTTCGCGCACGGGAGTAAAGCTGTAGGATGTAGGCTGAGGTAGGGATCAAGGACACTGTATAGGGGGATCTAAGCTGCTTCGGGAGCCCGCTGCGGCCTTTTTTTGTAGGAACCGCGGCGCGATGCTGGGCTCAAGTTGTATAGCTGTCGCCCGCCTCCTCGTGCCATCACGAGAACCGGAGATCTCGGAATGGCGAACAAACCGTGCCCAACAGGCCGGTTCCCAAGACCTTTGCAGTGTAGAAGTCTACTAAGTTGGGATTCCTGAGCAGGGCCAGCACTGGAAATCAGTAAAGAGCTTGTGTAGAGCCAGTAGTAGCTTGACAATCGTAGCAGATCATAAGATTCGACAGCTCGAGGTTGTCGAAGCTGCCAGGGACGCTTGACATGGATACGAAGCCGTAACACTTATGCGCGTGACGTGGATGTGCAGTCACATGTACGAAGGTTGCCAGCATCTAGTCAAGCAACTTGCTGCTGCGAGCGCGAGACTGAGCCTACTGCTCCTCTGTCGAGAACCTACCGCCTCCCAGCGATGCCAAGGTCACCAGCCCCAAGCCCCTGATGAACTCAAGCATCTGGCACCTCCCACAACTCAAGCCTGCGAGCCCTGGACAAGCTTCGCTAAGAGACACACCTTCTGTAGTGAGCAGGTGACTGAGGAATCGAGGCGCCACCGAAAGGTGGCGCAGCTGACGCCCCCGAGGCTTGGCAGCTCCGAGCATATTTGGCTTGTAATGTATAATGTCGATTGCAGGCTTTGGGGTTGACTCGATGTGTTGTCTCTGCCGTGTGGCTGGTGGTGGTTGGTGGGGATTGAGCTGGCAGTCGCAAAGTTGTGGTGTGTGGTGGTCGCGATTGGCTGTGCGGCTGGGGGCTGTCGTGTCAAGAACACGAGTTTGCAACGCTTCTATCTCATGGCTTATAACTTATAACCCTAAACCCTCAATAGGCCTAAACCCTAAACAACCCTAACCGGTGAACAACCTTATACCCTAAACCCCCCAAGAGTTGAATGCAGCAGGAGGTGGCCGAGCGGCGAGGGATCTGCGCAGCGGTCTGCTCGCCTCTTCCTTGCATTCATAGCCCCTAAACCCGCGCACACGCAACCACAAAAAAAAGAAACATCTAAATCTATACAAGTATATACATATACATATATATATACACACGTATAATCATGCCATACAAACATATGCTCGCTTCCTCCCATGATCCACAGCTGTCGCATGGTTGCAAGATGTTGCACATCAGAGCGACTAAGAGGGCCTTTGATATTCAGAACCCTTGTTTGTATAAACACAAGAAGTTCGCTTGATCTTCATAAGGGGCAAAATCCTTTCTGTTGCAAGGAGTATTCTGCGGCGAGTTGGTCATACTTGAACTGCTACGATGCATCTTTTGGACACTGACCTCATGGACATGCGTGTTTGAATGCCTAAAGGAGCTGGATCTCAGACAAGGAAATATGTGAACCATGCATCGGCAGATTGCTATCCAAACTTACTTGGATAAGAGCAGGTGAGTCAGCGAATGTTGAAAAATCACATGTTGTGCAGGACTCTGACACTAGTGTGCTATGCATGCCCTTTGCGCTTCCAAAAAACCCTGCTACCCGAACCGTCAGGAGCCTTGCAACGTGGGTTTTCTGGCCTCCGGGCCCTAAAGCCTAGACTAAACCCTTCAGCTTAACCGAAAAGGTAGCTCGGAAACCCTCTGGTCTCCCCAAAGCAAAGCTTTGCTGCGGTCCCTGAGGCTGGTCATGTCCATCCCGACCCTCGTGGGTACCTGCGCACGATTTGGCACAGGGCAAGACACCCCAAATCCGGTGTCTTTGTGTTTCAACCCCTTTTTTGTCGCTCTGCAGCCAAAGGCTCCAAAAACTCAGTAAACCCTCAACCCTTTTCGTCCTCAACCTTAAAACGGAAACACTTCATCCCCGGACCGCCGCCCACATCTGCCATCTGCAATCCGAGGTACCTGATGTTGGCCCCTGATTGTTGGCTGGTTTTTTCAGATCGCGTGGTATCAAATTGGACGCTTGGCCACGAGCTACCGAGTAACTGCCAGCCTCTGACTTTTGGAACTGCACCCTTGGGGCCCGAATCATGTTTTTTGTGTTGCGGCCTTCGGGAACCACTCCTGTTTTTTCTGCTTGGAACATCTCGTCAGCTTTTCTTGGTGGGAAAGCTACCAAAGGCTCAACCGCGATGCCTCTTTGTGCCTTATCCCAGGTACCAACATTGAGCATCTCTTCTACGCAATGGAGCTCATGGTGACCAGTGTCCTTGTCCGAGCCTGAGCTGCCCGCGCGCCTGCACTCTGAAAAGTATCGCCGAGAGTCGTAGAGTATAGGGTTTTTGGGGGGAGGGTTTTGAGGGAGAGCCGCGGAGGTCACAAACATCTTCCAGTTCGGATGGTGGAGATGCAAGCAGCGCTCGGGCGAGCTGACCCACTGGCAAAGGCACATTGACAGTGGCGTGTGTCTTCTTAGCACGTCTCTCAGCCCTAAGCTGAGCCCTCCGACATTACGTTCCTCACAAGGTGGGATGCCGCATACTACCTGGGCGCCGCCGTCCCCATGAACATCGGGATGCCTTTGGCAGTGGTCCTTATCTACATCGGCGAGTGGGGCAGCCCGGCCGCATTAAGAGAGTCGAGCTGCATCGAGCTGCCCTGACTGAACATGGGATCCCAAGTAGTCTAAGCAAGCGTGGTCCTGCGGGCAAGGCTACCCAGGCTCCAAGATGTGGCATTCCGGCAGCTGGATGCCGAACACCGTACACGGGGTCACCCTCTACATCTTCAAGTGGCTCCTTGCACGCAGCGGGAATCATTGCGCCACGCTACAAACCTTGGCCTCTTTGTTAAACAACGGCTGTCAACCCCGAAACGACCCAAAACAACCCTTGAGTCCGCTTTGCAAGGCTTGGGGTGATTTTTATGACCATCGGTGTATTGAAAGCTACGCAGCTTCACACCAAGATCATGAAGAAGCGCCTTTGCAGCGACCAGAGCCGTGAGTTCAATAGGAGTCGGGGTTGCATGGTTTAGTCCTCTTTTGGGCTGTGGTAAAGGGTTGAGGCATGCAAACCAAAACATGCCGCAAGCAAAACAGCAGCAGCAGCAGCGGCAGCAGCGGCAGCAGAAGCAACATCACATCAACAGCATACAACAAGAAGCAAAATTGTTCTACTTCGAACATCCCCATCTTAGGGATTTGGGGGTTGGGCATTTCAGGGAGTCTATGGGGTTGGGCCTCTCGGGTTGGGCACTCCAGGAGTCTCTGGGATTGGGCACTCCAGGGAGTCTCTGGGTTGGGCACTCCAGGGAGTCTCTAGGAGTAGACCGGGCGAGGAGAAGAGTTGAGTTTAAACTCCAACAACCCCACACCGAAGGTGGGAAACAAACATGTACAACACATTCCCTAATTTTGGTTTCTGCAAGCACCCCCCCCCCCCCCCAAATAACTTGACCCCCCCCCCCCCCAACACACCCCGCTCTGCCCGCATCCCCCCAAAGCCCCCCTCCTGAGGTGGAGGAAGCTCCGCGGGAGGGACCCGCCAGCCGAGGCACGAGACTGAAAAAGAGCTTCGGAGGCCTTCAAGTTGTGGCCTTGAGCCATACGACAAGCCCGAAGTTTTCAGCCGGAAACCCCCTAAACCAAGAGCCACACCTGAGATCATCATGTTCTTCGGCCATCGCCCCCATTGTAAGCCAAAGCGGCCAACACCTCGAAAGTGCGTAGGACCCTCACAATCCCCAACAAACACTGTCGACCCCCAATTAGGCCCTGAGCCCCCCCCCCCCCCCCCCCCCCCCCCCCCCCCGTAAGCCCCAAATTACCCATCAAAATCTACACCTCCATAAACCCCAAGCCCGGAGAAGCGACACCAGAACAACCCCGCCTTGGCAGCCTGGGTAGGTTCTTCCCGGTGCATAGGTGGAGGAAGGGAGCTGCATGTGCCTCTTAGTGCAAAAAGGATTTAAGGCTTTGAGGGTTTGAAGTTGCGGATGTTGGGCTCATCTAGGGCAAGTCTGGAACCCTTTGTGTTCAGGGCTTCGAGACGGAAGGCTTAGGGTACGGGGTTTACGCTTGAGGGCTTAAGAGCGACGCAAGCCTTTCTGAACTTTCTCCAAGTCCTTCCACGTCTTTCGAGAATGGTTTCAACTTGTAGAGTTTCATTATGCCTTATACTCAATAGATTACTGCAGATAGCGACGGTTTTGCAAACAGCCATGCTTGCAATGCCTGCAATCGGGTGGCCTGTTGACAAGAGTCTTAGGATTCAGCGCTACAAGTGAAATGTAGTTCATTGTTGGGCGTATTTTGCCCCCATGCCTGTCCTTAAAGGCCTGGGGATTGAAGCAGAGCTGTGTGTAAGGTAAGTACTTCACCCTCCTTATGCACCCTCCTGCCAGATCCCACCTGGAGTTCCAGGTTTGTGGTTCTCTGTTGATGCTCGTTTACATTGGGATGGATGCCACACTCAGGTCGGACTCCTCGACTCCAAACCCCTAAAAACACACCTTGGCGGCCACCCAGGTTGGAGGGCTTTGTCGGCTTGACAAGTCCGCCACGAGCAGCGCGACAGAAAACGGATTGTTTGTTGATGGGTGGGGGGCCGTGTCTTCCTCGATCTTGCATCTGGATGAGAAAGATTCTGGTTCTAGGTCCAGTCGATCTGCTATGGGGAAGAGGTAGGCGCCCTCCTACCGAGATGCGCCTGGCGCGTGTACAGATTTGGCTCGATGCCCTCGGTGCCTCGTGAGGATTTTGTCGGCCTGGAACAAGTCCTCACCAGGCACACGTCCTAGATTCACTGTGCACCCTGGCTCTCAGCAACGGCAGCACAAGGACCCTTTTTTCGTCCCTTTGTTATGAAAACTCTGAAAACAGATCCACTGCGCACTGCGAACTCCTTACTCAGAGCCGGGGAGGAGACCTGGTTGGGCATGGCTGGAGAACCAGCCCGCCCTTTGGAAGACAATTTTCTGTAGCTTCGGGCTGTTTGCGAAGCTTGCTGGAGAGGCTACACGGTTCATAGTTTCATGGCTTATTCGCTTAGGCGCTTGCGCAGCTATCTGCGGCTGACGTTTCAGTACCGAGACAGCAGAATCAGTGATCTGACGGTCTTCCAAGACCAGTCCAGGACTAATTTCACAAACTAAACATTGAGAAAGGAATCATGCTGAGTGGTGGTCCTGGGCAGTGTTGGGCATGGACCGTCAGTGAGTATGTCTGCTGCTCCGGATCTGATCGCCTCGCCACAGGTGCAGCCAAGCAGATGCAGCTTCGCAAACAGCTTGACGCTGGCATTTTTGTCTGACAGATTGGTGTCTTGCCGCACACGGTGGCAGCACCTTTCGACGCAAGAAATCCGGTCTCCGAAAACGAGCGTCCGAGGGTTTAGGGTTTCAGGTTGGTGGTTTAGGGCTCAGAGTTTAGGATGTCCCGTGTCCACCATTCCTTTGCTCACCCCCTTGAGCTCCACAAAATCCAAACTCAACTCCCGCCTACTCCAAGCCGCGGCATCCAGAGCCACCCCGAAGGGCTAGCAGTTCTACAGCCTTGTAGCCCTGAGCTGAACACTAGTCTTCTGCCGAGTTCGTCATCGGAGAGCCTGCACGGTCAGATTCGTATGAACCCAGCTGTGCAACCCAACAGCCAGCAAGACAACGATGATAAACCCTAAACCCTAAACCCTAAACCCTAAGTTTCGTTCCGTTCCGGCGTTTCGTTCCGAGGGCTCCGGGGCGGTAAATGGCCCCCGCCCCTAGAGATAGAAATCCAACCCTTCGGCTCTTGGGAATAGTATCATCCCTGAAAAACGGGTTTCTGGTCTTCAATCTCGCAGATTCACTTGAAAACCGGTTTCTGATCTTCAATCTCGCAAATTCACTGGCGACATGCATCCATGTCTTGCGCCGCGTTGTTGTATGTAGTTCCCCAGGCGCAAAGAACGCCGAACCTAGCATGCGCCAGGTTTAGAGGCAGAACTTCAGGAGCTTGAGGCTTCAAGCAAGCAGCGACTTATCTACAGCTCTCCAGTACTTGGGGTGCAAGCGCGCGCTTCTCCTCCCTACAGCCCGAAATCCGACTACCCTGAACCCGAAATATAAACTCTCCCAAGCCCCCTCTCAACTGTGATCCTAGATCTCATGGCGTCCCATGGATGGCGCGTAGATGTTTGCCTTCGACGAGCTGGACGAGCAGGCGGGTTGGGGGGGGGGGGGGGGGGCGTGATGTCTTGGCCAGACGCAGCAACCCAAGTCTGAGGGCCCCAGAGCACACGCGTAGCCTTGGCTACCATTTGCTTCCGGAATCTTACGAACCCCAAAAAACACAAGCTAATATTTCCCTAGATTACCCTTAGAAGGAACAGTCTTTTGTGTGTGGTTTTTTTTTTTTTGGGGGGGGGGGGTTCTTAAGCAAGTAGTAGTTGAGCATTCAACGGACTTTGTCTCTCACGTGGGAGAGTTTGGGTTGGCTGCCCCGACCCCTTCTAAACCGAAGCCTATCCCTAAACACCCACTTCCCAGACGCGACTCCAAGGGCCGTTGGGGTAACAGGGTTCCAGTTTGAGGTTTGACAGTCTTTGGGATGTTTTTTGACCTAAAGCCTGAAGCAGACACCACATGAACGTCAACTCACCCGCAGAAACTCCTGAAAGCTCGGAACCCTAAACCCTAAACCCTAAACCCTAAACCCTAAACCCAAGCTCTCACGCGTCTCTTGGTTCCCATACCTCAATCCTCGAAAGCCAGTAGCCCCGCAACCCCACCACCCTGAACATCTTGCAAGTGGAGGAGGCGGCGGCTGTCGAGCGCGATGCGGAGGCCTGTTGTTTTGTTTATGATTAGTAGTATTATTATTAGTAGTATTATTATTAGTAGTATTATTAGTAGTAGTATTATCAGTAGTAGTATTATTATTAGTAGTATTATCATTACTTATTTATTCTTATTTTGTTTTTGTTCTTTTTTTTTGGCGGGGGGGGGGGGGGGTTCGTGGTCTACGGTTTCAGCACTTGCGGGTTCGAAGTGGAGCTCGACTCCAGGGAGGTCAAGAAGTCATGAACCCCAGCGTTTAGTCGAAGTTTCCGAGTCCAGAGGCCAGGGTAAACAGAACTACCCAACACCAATCCCCAACTCCTGCAACCCTCAGCCTTCTCTGCGTGCCCGTGTTGCTAAGTGGTGAAGAGCCATCCACTTGGTAGACAAGTCACGGAAAACCTACACAAGTCCCTTGCATCAGCTATCCCCGGGCGCGTGACGCAGAAATATGCCGTGGTGTGAAACTCGATAAAAGGGGGGATTGCTGCACGCGGACCTCGTTCGGCACATCTAACAAATGCTGGCCGCTCGAGAGAGCGCGAGAGAGTCTCAGCTACGAGCATTGTAAGCTCCAACGACTCCAAGGCTCCGTTTCAAGCATGTCAAAAGCATCCCAACGACACACCTACAGTTACATTGCAATGGTCCCCCTCGTACCAGCAGTCCTTTTTGGGGATTGTCAAAGGGGCTGCTATCATCCGTAGTAAGGACTGTTAGTATAAGGGTGAACATCCCAACACCTACATCCAGGCCTCCGGCTTCATCGACTTCGACGCACTGGATGCCGCAGAGCAGGAGCGGGACGGAGACCCGCAGCGCGCGCAGCACGCGCAGACGGACACGGAGGATCGATGGGGGCCCACCGGTGCTTCAGTTTACAGAGGTGTTTCTTGAGGCCTTGAGGGCTCAAGGAGCCTTGGTGTTACCAGTAGGGACAGTGTTTAGGCTGAAGGAAGGTTTATGTGTTGGGGGCATGCTGGGGTCGAGGGTCCAAGGGGTACTTCCGCAGCTTCGATCCCACCACCCTTGTTCTCATGGGGCTCGGTTTAGGGTTTAGGGTTTGGGGTGTAGGGTTTTGGGTTTAGGGATTCCAGTGCTACCTGTGACTGTTGACACTCTTGACAAGCAATCGAAGACGCGAGGGTAACAATGGCGACGCCGCCGTGATTTTTGTGGGTGTTGTCTTGACACAGCTGACAAAAGACCATATCAACTCTAAAGGTAAAACCCCTTGATTGGACAGCCGCTGGTGCCTTTAGCATCTGCGATTTCCTGCATGCGCTCGGAGCAACTCTGAATACAAGAGCCTTCGCCCATAAACCTACAGGACGTAGTCCTAACTTCTTTGCGGCAGATCGCGCAGCGCTGCGCCTTCGAGCGCGAGCGGAGCAGCTTCGTCTGCCAGCGGCACACCCCGACAGGCGAGGTGGTCCGGATGTTCGCAGACCCTGCGGGCCTTGCGCGCCTGTAAGCCCCGGACCCCAAGCCCAGACCAAGCCCGATGTTCTGGCTGAGAGGTTCAGGCACTTTAGAGTTTTGCGGTTTGCATAGTTTCGGCGTTGTTAAGGGATCCGTGAGACTTAAACCAAAAAGCTCGGGCAGAAACTTCTAAAAGCGGGTGGAAAACCTCACCCACTCCCCGAATATTGAACGTTTCTCCAAGGATCGCGTTTAAGGAACCTACGAGGTCCAACTGTCCAACGCTCAAAATCTGAACCCTGGGTCGTGACTGGAGGCCTCTTCTTCCGCCTCGCCCTGCCTCGCTCCCCGGCAGAGCTGCGGCAGCTTGGTGCCTCTTGGCTCACCCGCGCGCTGCGGCGGGCACGAACACTGCCGGAGGCTCCGCTTAGGGAGTGATTGTCATGTCTCACAGCTTTGCACTACATTTTTGTGTTCATCGCATAGTTTTCAACAAGGCGTTGAAAATGTTGAGACTTTGTCAATAATCATAAAGAAGAGCAAGCATCAAGTATCTGATACGTATATGCCAACTTGAAGATGCGCGTGTTCGTCTTTTGATCTTCAACCTGTTCATGAGCGTTTGTTCGTTCGGAAACACATTGTGCAACCCTCACCAACTCAAAGCAACTTGCAGAAAGTCGCCCGAGAGCTTACGGCTCAGGTTTTGGCATTTTCGGGCTTGGGGTCTTCATGGCGTTCGCTGATTTTGCAGCATCCTGGTAGCTTTTGGGAGGTGCCAGACGCCAGTTTGTGTGAAGCTTCGAGTTGTTGTTTGTTTTGGACGCAAGTGGCTAGAAAGTTGCCTGCGCAACGCCGCGAAAATCCACAGACAGGCTTCTAGCCTTGCGTCGTTGATTTCGGTACTTTTTTTGCCGGCATGGACGGAAAAGAATGGCTTGATGTTGATGATAACAACCATAGGGGGGCAATTGCTCCCCCCCTTGTTGCGACAGCCTGCAGCATCCATATCAGCAGCATAGTTGGGGTCGCGACATGTGATTGCATGGTCTAGGGCCAGATCTTCAGTCAGTATGCGATGCAGCCTGCTTTTGAGTGCACCGGCATCTGCAGCACTTGTGTCAAGCGGTTCAGGGTTTAGGATTATAGATATTGATTCGGGTTCAGGGTTTATGTTTTCGGGTGCCAGCACGCTGCTTTCTGACAGGACGCGGTGGTCTCCGACATTCTAGCAATTCGGCCACTGTCCGCAGAAGGCTTGCGCATTCCCGGTGGCCATTGAAGGAGATAGATCAGTAGGCCGCTGATGTCTACAAGGTCATGCAAAACGTAGATTGTCATCCATTGGAGGGGAGACCGTCAAGTCAGGAAAAGTGCTCCTGAGTAACCTCGACTGAGTCGAACATGCAAAAGCCAACAAGAGTCAGAAGCACCCCGGACCCAATTGGAAAACCGAAGAGACGCCCCCCCCCCCCCCCCCCCCCCACGCCCCCCAGAGAAAACAACAGGCATTTCTATCTGCCAAATTGTGGTACACGCGTGTGCCCTACTTGCTTGGAGAGAAATGTTGGTCCTGACGGGTCGGCCCTTGTTTTTGTGGGTCTGTTATCGATTGGACAGCATGAGGAATGGGAGCACGATGTGGGGCCAAGGTAGAGCGGTGATGCAGAGATCAAATCCCAGTTGAGTCACCGTTCGAGTCCATCGGGAGTCCACCGAAAATGAGAAGCAACTGTTTTGGTCACGCCCCAAAGCAGATCAGGGGCCCACGCCAAGGGTGCAATGCTCGGCCTTTTAGAGGGTTTGGGGTTTCAGGCAGGGTTTTAGATTGACGTGCTCGACTCATTTGTTCGTTCTTGTTTTGTCTGACACGGTCTATTTCGTTTTCCGACTCGGCCAACACGGTGTGACCCTCCATTGCAGTAGCGGCTGTGTGCGGCTGTGACGAGTCGCTTCGTCAGCGCGGTCTTGCCCTAAACCCGGGATAGATTCAAAGCCTCAGCCCTGAAGCCCCAAACTCTGCGCGGAACCCTCGTTGCAGGCGCTTGCCAGCTGATGGAGGTGGTCTTCACGCCTCCTCGCGATCCGCAGTTTTTGGTGGTGCACTTTTTTCAGGACTCCGCCCCGCAAACCTGCTCCGGATGTGTTGCGCGATGTTTGGGGACTTATGCGGAAATGGTTTTAGAATCTCGGAACTCTGTTGCTGGCTGAGCTGTTTGTGTCTTAGTTCGTTGTTGCAGTTGTTGCATTGGAAAATTTAGACGCGTCAATGACCATGATTGGGTTGCAAGAAGCACCGGAAACCCAAACCTCAAAGCAAGCCTTGTAAAGGGTCTCAAGTTCATCTTGGCTGCACACACACACACACACACGTCGGGTTGCTTTTCACGGCCGGCATGCATCGCCTCTAGTCAGCGCTGTTAGGCCCCACAACCTCAGCTCTAAACCCTAAACCCTGCACCCTCGGAAGCTGCATACCCCATGCCCCTCTCAACAATATCCCGATTAAGGTCCAGGCCCAAGCCTCCCTTTAAAACCCCGAAAACCGAAGCCGTGAACTCCAAGAGCTGGCAAAATATCCGTGGCCAAGCAGGATGGATCCAGCCAGGCCAAGGGACTCGAAGGACCCTCCCATGTCGGGGTTGGGTTTGGATTAGGGCAAATGAGGGTCCCCTTTTCGTGGGTGGTGACTCCTGCCATGGGATTCCTCTGAGAATAACCGCTGCAGCAGGTGCTTAGAGCCGCTCCGTGCATGTCGAGTGTCCTCTCATTCTTGGGTTCATTGGTTGTTATAACAAGCAGGACTGGCCTGTATTTGGAGCTCAAGGTTCTAGCAGTAGGCTCGTTCGGGACGCTTTGGGGTCTCTCGTTGTGTGGAGGTTTAGGTTTTCAGGCTCTTGCACATGGGCTTGCGTGTTTCAGGTTGCGGGCCATAGGGCTTGGGGTTTCCTGATGCTTCGGCGCAAAAACAGGCGTCCTGGCCACTTTTTTGCCCTGAACAGAATAGGCCTTCCAACTCCGTGGATCGACTGTGCAACACCTAAGCCCCAACCCCCATGAACTTGAGTGGGATCATCTAGCCAGCTTTGGCCGTAGCCAAGCAGTTCGTCTGGAGTATCCTCGGTGGGCTCGCAGTTGAAATGCCAGAGTACTTCTGCAGTGGTTTCAGGGATTTGCGGCCAGTTCGCAGGTCCTTGAGAAGCTCACGCAGTCTCAAGGCGATCAGAATCTGCTTTGAGAGGGTTGCAGCGTGATGATTATCGAAGCAAGTCGGCTCGCTACAGACGCACATGGCACGAGGTCGGGTGCTGCACGACCAGTGGAGTCCAGCTCTGGATGTAGTTGGAACAGGCTTGAGTGGGCTATGCCGGAAGCATGGAGCTTCGGGAGGATCAGGAGAAGCGGTGGCGAGCCACCATACTTTCGACATAGATGCTGAGTCATGCTGAGTCAACAAGCCCGTGGAAGGTCAACTGAGCAGTCAGTTCCTGCATGAGCCCTCTGGCATGTTTGGAGATGTCTGCTGCACATTCCGATTAGGCTGTGCCCAATTAGCAGTCAGGCTATCCATGCCATTGGCATGATTGCCATCTCTTGTCACCTCTGCCAGTGCAGATCGGCTGAAGCCGAGGGGAAGGGTGGGCTTCGGTCGGGGTTTAGGGTATAGGCGTAATGCTACTCAAGGTGCTCAAAATCCGGCTCATACAAGGGTGGAAAAGCGGATCCCACGTAGCAGCGCGAAAGGAACGGCCCAAGAGCCTGTAGCGAAGCGCTCCCCCCGCGCGTTCATTGGAGTCTGGGTTTTGGGTTTACGCACCTAGAACCCCGAAGCTCTAAGTTCACCTGACGCGCAGGAATCCTGCGCTCCAAACTGTGTGCCGGGAGCTCACGTTTTATGGTTGAGGCTTCGAGGGTCAAGGGTCAAGCGATAAGGACTGCAGACGTAAAACTCAGATTTCGAGTTTCGAGTTTAGGGTTGGCAAGTCACAATACTCTACAGGTTCCCTCCCCAGACGTGGGTTTAGGGCTTTGCAGGTTGTGTGTTCAGGGCCTCAGGTTCATCGCTTTGGGTCAGCAGTTCTTGCCTTTCCAGTCCGAGGTCCTGGGCCCAGGATGCAGTAGTGAACCCTTCGTGCTGTCGGCTGGGTGCCCATAAGCCTCCAACCTCCAAAGCACCGCCCCAAAGAAGCGGTTCCATGTGGAGGGTTGTTTATATGAGGGTCCCTCACAGAGAGATTTGTTGAAACGGATAACTTTAAAAAAGAACGCGCGCTCCAAACAGGCTCCTACTCGCTAGCAACCTCCATGTATCACCTGCAGTGCGGGCTGAGGACACGAGTTTCGTCAGCGGCATCAACTTCCTGCGCCTATTGGAATCCGAGCTGGAGGCTTCCTGGGCAATCTTGGCAGGTTTCGGATTCAAAGGCTCCTAGTGCCCCTAGACCCCTCAGACAGAAAGCTATTAAACCTTAAACTGAAGCATCTTGCAATTCCTGTAAAAAAATGCTCTGAAAAAGTGGCGATGTGGAGTTTCGTGGTCTGCTGGGCTTTAGGACACTTTGGTCTTCTGACTTCATTGCAATCAAGTGAGTTTGAAGAGTTCGTATGGAGGATGAGGGTTTTACGTGCTGCCAGCCCATGGAACTCCTACGTCATGCTACTTTTCAAGGCTTAGTCAGGGTTTCGGGTTTAGGGTTTAGTGTTTAGGGTTTAGGGTTTAGGGTTTAGGGTTTAGGGTTTAGGGTTTAGGGTTTAGGGTTTAGGGTTTCTCAGAGCGGACCTCTACTGAACTCCCAAATGCTTTCAAAAAGCCCCTCCGCCCAGAAGTTCCGACTGTGACCTTTGGCAGGCAACTGCAGGGTTTAGGCTTTAGGGTTTAGGGTTTAGGGTTTGGGGTTTAGGGTTTAGGGTTTAGGGTTTAGGGTTTAGTGGCTTTCATAGCTCCCGAATCCAACGAAGTGGCCCAGCATGCATCTCGTCAAGCAGAAAGTGCTCCTGCCGGTGAGTCAGGCCGTTTGGCTCTGTCTGCATGTATAGGCCCCATGTCCTAAGATGCCCAGTAGTACCCTTATTCCCTTTTTGGGGGGTTTAGGTTCCCTTATAAACCCCTGTAAGCAAAAAGGGGCACCATTTTCAAGCCTAGGTTACTGGGCAGCCTAGTGTCTATAAATCTCTCCAGGGTTGAGGGCTTTAGGGAAAACCCAACGCCAGGTTCCCCCACGATTCTTCTTCGGGGATGTCTGCGACGGTGGAGCCTCAGGCACCCAGCAGCCGAAGGGCCGTTGAGGCATTGAGGCGTTCGTGCTTTCCAGGTTGATGGGGGTACCTCTTGGGAGGGTTTAGGGTTTAGGGCTAGGGTGTTGAGGGCTTTGAGGAGTTTAATGATTGCTGCGCTGTGGGCCCGTGGTAGGGACTGTCGGGGGGGGGGGGGGGTGAACTTCAGGGTCTGAGGAAAGCAGTCAAGAATTGCATCAAACCGAAGCCCAAAAAAACAAGCCCACATTCAGGTCTCACATGGGACGGTCCACATTTTTGTACACCTTCACCCAGCGCGTGGCGATTCTAGAATTCTAGAACACGCTTAAAAGACAAGGTTCCGGGCAGCTTGCCCATTGAGATACGGACATGTTAGGACTTCGGGAACTTCGGGTGCAGGGCTTGGGAATCGACCGCTTCCAGAGGGCTCTTGCAAGAAGAACCTGATGAGAGAGGGCTGCAAGAACATGCCAACCCTGAACCCCGAACTCCTTTATCCCGAAACGCCTGAAACCCTCAACTCCCCAACCAAAAACCCCAATCTTCTACGTCCATGAAATTTAAAACCTTAGTAGCCCAGTGGTACCCTTCACCTTTTTTTGGTTACGTGTTGCCTTTCACAGAAGCCAACCCAAAAAAGGGGTGCCCTTATGTTAATGTGGTTACCGGGCTACTCAGAAACCCTTTCGGCCCTACTCCCTTTCGGCCCATAAGGCTTGCTCATCACCGAGTGGTCGCGCGTGCCGTCCACATTCACCTCCTTCAGCCCAGAGCCCGCCTGGGGCCTGCAGCTCTCCGGCCCATTTAGGGTTTAGGGTTTAGGGTTTAGGGTTTAGGGCTTAGGGCTTAGGGCTTAGGGCTTAGGGCTTAAGGCTTTCGGGGTTTCGGAGTTCGGGAGATTAGGGTCGAGTTTAGGCTTCAGGTCGTTCATGTCAAAACGTCATTTCATGTCTACCCAGGCTGAGGCTAGCAAGGGCGTAAGCATTGGAACCACTTGGGACAAAACGGGGGACTATTTTGCAAATCATTGTTGTTCGGAATCTCGCGCTCTTCCGGGAAGAAACTTCGACTCTTACATCCGTCGAGCAGTGCAGCAGAGGTAAAAGCTTCCGGCATAGAAACGGTACTGAGCACGACCTTCCAAAACCGCCCAAACCGTTTAGGGTTTAGGATTTAGGGTTTAGGGTTTAGGGTTTCCAAAAGCCCCCCCCAAAACTGCTCAGTTCTGCATGTTGGCCATCAAAGCATGTTTCGCGCTCTCACCCGGGGCCCTTACCACTCATGTTGCAACCCTTCTCCAGGGGCAGATTCCCTGTCAAGAGGCTTATGCCTCGATTTGCGAACCCCCCCCCCCCATCATTGATAACAGGTCCCTCCCAGGTTTGGGGATGTTTGAGGATTCCGGTTGTCTCTGGATGGCTTTGGGAGCCTTTTGTACGAAGACTCGAACGTGTGGGGCGGTTGGAGATGAACTCAGCTGTTCTGCTCACCTCAGAGAATTCAGAACATCCCACAGAGTATCCCTGAGTTGCATTGCCCATGAACCTTCAAGTTCAATGGGCACCAATGTAGGTTTAGGGTTTAGGGTTTAGGGTTTAGGGTTTAGGGTTTAGGGTTTAGGGTTTAGGGTTTAGGGTTTAGGGTTTAGGGTTTAGGGGTGTGTTTCGCAGGGTGCCCAAGGCTCTGGCATTTTTGTGCCTGGGGTCGGGCGGGCCATGGTGTTCTGTTGGAGTTCTGCTGGGGTTCTGTTGCTTAATAGGCTTGAAATAGGGTAGTTCTCTCAGAACCCCCCATAACCCTATTCTGCTGTAATCCATCTGCAGCAAGTTGTAGATCTGTTCAGTGCTCTGAGCTATTGCTGAGGATGCAGATGACATCTTCTTTAATTATTGACTTCGACAGGCTTTCGCCCGCATACCCCCATAACCCTATTCTAATTATCAAGGCCCAGACCCCCCCCCCCCCCCCCCCCCCCGCAAAACCCTATTCTATTTCTCCAGGCCCCTATATGACTTGTGTTACAAAGAATGGCTTTTGGTGAAGTCTGAGGGCCGGCAAACTCGCCCTAAACCCTAAACCCTAAACCCTAAACCCTAAACCCTTAGGATCGAAGGCAAACTCGTGGTAATGCTTCCCAGGACCCAGCAGCAGTGCTACATCAGACCGGAGGGACATGCGAAGCTGTGTCTGACAGGTCTGGGCCGGTCCGGGGTTTAGGGTTTAGGGTTTAGGGTTTAGGGTTTAGGGTTTAGGGTTCAGGGTTTAGGGTTTAGGGTTTAGAGTTTAGGGTTTAGGGCTATCACTTCGTGCTCTGGAGTTTGGGATGGCGGCGCATCCCGGCTTTGCTTAAAGATGACAAGTCAGATCTCAGGGCTTGCTACGCGCGGGGGAGCCCTGCTTGAAGAAATGCGCCAAGAACCCCCAAAAAACTGTGTGGTTGCCTCATGATAAAGATTGTCGCCATTCCTGCAACTCAAGCTGGCAGGGCAGAAGGCTTGGTGTTCAGGGTCTATAGTCACTCGAGTCATCGTTGGGCTCTTCTCATACGGTTCTCCCCAACAAATCTCATCCCAACGGTTGCCGTTCATCATAGGGCTGTTCCTTGACTCTTGGGCCTCAACCGCAGTCACTTCTTGGGTCTTTGCAGTTCCCAACAAAAACTCGTGTACCAGAAAAAAGGAAGTCACCATACTCTCAACAGAGTGCATTGACATTGAAGCGTGAGATCAAATCCATGCAGAAATGAAACTTGCAAGCCACATAGACGTAATAAACAAGCGAGCCTTGTGGTTGGGGGCCTGCAATTGCATAGCACCGAGGGCCGCAGTTGTGCATCTCTCAAGAAAAGGGCCCGCGCGCCAGAGCCTCTAGCCCCAAACTCTCCAAGAACCTTTCCAAGGCCCGAACCTCTTTGTCCCCTGTGCAGAATTGGGCGGCTTTGCCTCGCCCTTCGCAGCAGCGCCGGCGCTACCCGGAGGATCCGCGCTGACCGTCGAGACCCTGCAAGACTGGCAGGCAGGTTTCAGGGTTGCGGGTTTGCTTCAGGGTATCGGACCCCCAAACGCCGAAAGTGAAACTCTGGCGCCACAAGGTCGTCCCAAACCTCCGCAACTTCGCGCGCAATTCGGGATGTGGAGGGGCTTCAGGAGGTCGTAGAGCTGCTTTCATGGGGGCTGAGGGTTCTGGGCTGTCTGCTGCGATTCTGGTGGGGGGCTCATGATGCGGTCTCGGTCGTGGCTCACTGCTGTGCTACACGCAGACGCAGCAGCCCAGTCCCACATCCCCCGCAGAACGTGCTTGTGTAAGCATCCGATTCCTTAAACCCTAAAACCCAAAACCCTAAAAAACCCGTAAAAAAACTAAAAAACCCTAGAACCCTAAACCCTAAAACCCCAAGACCCCAAAACCCAAAACCCTGAAACCCCGAGCCCTAAACCCCAAACAGGGGCAACTGGCAACTGGCACACTTTGGGGCCGGAAGTCCTACCGCGCAGGCCGCACAGGATCATCAGAAGTCATGGACTCTGATCAGCTGCGGCGGCGAAGCCCACGCGAGGCCAGGGTTTAGGGCTTAGGGTTTAGGGTTTAGGGTTTGGGGTTTAGGGTTTAGGGTTTAGGGCCTCCAATCCCAAATCATATGCTTCGCAAAGTGGGGCTTAGGGTCCAGGCCATTGGGGCATTTCCCGACAGAGGGGTACCCTTAATATACCCCCCAAAATAGTATAGTCCTTATGATAGGAACCCCCCTTTTTTTAAAGGGCACCCCTCTTCTCGTAAACACAGATATCCAGGAAACCACTGAAGGGCTTGCAGGCGGGGCTGCGAGATGAGAGGGCGAAGCCTGTCGGCTCTTTGTTGCTCGCCTCCCCATTGGGTTCGGTCTAGGTGAACCCTAGTTTCTTAGCCTAAAGCCTCAAGAAGCCAAACCCTGAAATCAGGAAGACTGCAAGCCCCGTTCAGCCTTCGGGCTTCTGGGTTTCGCTCTTCAGTTTCAGGAAAACAGGGTTCCCGCGTTTTAGGCTTTGGGGACCCTTGCGGTTTTAGGGTTTCGGGTCGATGTTAAAGGTTTAGGGCGGCAGGGCTTTTTATGTTCTCAGCAAAGGTTCAGAAGTCCAAACCCCAAACAAGCAGAGGCTCTGGCGGATCCGGAGCCCCAGTGGGGCTTTCCTGGTGGCTCAGAACCCTGGGCCAAATCGTCAGCCTTTGCTAGGTTAGGGTTTAGTGGGTTTAGTGGGAGTTGAGTTGCTGCTTTTTAGGGGGGCGTGGGAGGGGGGGGGGTGCTTCGGATTGAGGAGCGCAACTGCGCAACCGGTCAACGGTTTGTTTAATCGTTTAAGGGGGGTTGTTCAAGCCGTAAACCCTAAACCCAAAAACCCAAAAGACCCGAACAACCTTACCATGCTCAACATCCCGCAGACGACCCTCGCTCGAGTGTTTTGTTCGGGCTTGGGGCTCAGGATGACAGGCAACCCGAAGCTTTACCTGGTTTCGGGCTTATAGCTCATGTTAGCGTCTCCAACCTTACGTTAAGATGCGACTAGAAGTAAGATATTCTTCCTTATAAGTACTTCTTGAGGAGTTTCCGCAGCTCAGGAGCAGTTCCATCATCGGGCTGTCTCCGCCAGCCAAGCCGGTGTCCGAAAGGGCGGAGCTGTGGACACTGATGCCAGGTGGGGGTGCAAGGATTTCGGTGCCAGAGCCAGAAAGCCCTCAAGACAAAAGGGGTTTAGGGGTTTAGGGGTTTCGGGCATTGGGGATTTACGGGTTGAGAGGTTGCTCAAAGACCTCGTGCCTTCAGCTGGAGCAGTGGGAAGGCAGATAGCGTTCAGGTCTTGCATGGGACTCTCCTTCACAGGGTTCTGATGTATGGGCCCTGAATCTGAAAAGGGTGTATATGGGGCATACTTGGGATACCCTGCTAAGGGCCCATAGGGACCATGAAACTGCCCTTAGAGGGACAGTTAGGCTGTACTGAGGTTTGAGGGGAGCATCTTCGGCTTGAGGGCTTCCTGTGGCCTGTGCCGGTATCATGGGTTTAGGGTTTAGGGTTTAGGGTTTAGGGTTTAGGGTTTAGGGTTTAGGGTTTGGGGTTTAGCTTGACGTCTGACGCGCGGCACCCAGCTCATCTGGAGCTCCAATAAGCTGGAGTTCCGGGCACCTGTCCAACCCTCCCGGGCGGTGTTTGGCCTGCATTGCTGGCAGGGGTTAGGGTTTAGGGTTTAGGGTTTAGGGTTTAGGGTTTAGGGTTTAGGGTTTAGGGTTTAGGGTTTAGGGTTTAGGGTTTCCCCTTTCATGAGCCCTGAAGGGCAGCTCTAGCCTCAAGAATAGGGTGCAGTCGGCGGAGAGGTGCTTTCCCGGGAGACTTCTTCATCCGCAGTTTCTATGACGCCTGGTCCTCCAAGAGACGCCTTTTGCTTCAGGCTTCGCTTCAGCCCAAACATCAATCCCAAAGCTCAGGGGGAGCGCTTGCCCTGAACCCAAACTCAAGCCAGCTGATCTACCCTAAACCCTAAAAACCCAAACCCTATAAACCCTAAAGGCCCAAGTCTCCAGGACAAAACAGTCTCAGATTTTGAGTTTTCTGGTTGGGGTGTCCTGATTATCAGGGAATTCTATCAATTTGGGGTTTATTTTGGGGCTTCTATGGTTCCCCTCTTTTCTCAATATAGCCCAGGACAGCTTCCTCACCCACGCTGTCTCTTCGCGTCTCGTCACTGGGATTTCGACGGATGCTGGCGTGGATAAGAGGATGAGTCTGGGGAACGTAGGGATTCTTGGGGGAACAATTGTTAATTTTGGGGCACTAGAATTCCTAAGAAACAGCTAAAGTGAAAATTGTTGCTATAGGGTTCCAAGGTGAGTCTGGGGATTGTTTTGATTTTCGGGACAGGCTTGGGAGTTAATGGGGTTTTGGGGATGTAGGATTTTGGGTTGAGTGTTTAACCCGATCTGGGGTACACGACTTTGAACTCCGCAATCCAGGAGGTGTGTAATTTTGTGTTTATCGGGCCTTGAGACTTGAGGATGTAGGGTTAAGGGCTCCCTTACCACTCCCCAACAAGAATAGTTAACAAGAAACAAAGGAAACCATAGCACATAAAAAAAGACTCAAGCAGCCAATGTCCAACAGCAAAAAGAACAATCAACGAATAGCACATAGCAAGCAGCACGTAACAAAAACAAACAAGCATCAACTATCAACTTGCCATTGGCCATTCACATAATAGCAAAGCCCAAAACAAAACAAAAACACAACAAGCATCAACCATCAACTATCAACTTACAGCTGCAAACTCACAAAACAGTAAAGCCCCAAGACAACGACAACAACATAAGCATAGCAAAAAGTGATAACAGCAGGCAGGGTAAGTTGGGAGAAGTGTAGAGTAGCAAAGAATAAGGGGGGGGGGGGGGGGGGGGGGGGGTCGGGCATTTTTCAGCAGAAGGCTTAAGGCTTGCATCTGCTTCAGGTGACTCTGACCCTGAGCAGAGGGTCCAAGGCGAAGTGGACCATTCAGACGCGAGCGGACGCCATGCCGGAATAAGCCGAATGGGCTTGGGGCTGCAGAGCTTCAAGTTAGGCACGCTGGCTTCTGGTAATCAGGGTCGTTTGTAGTAGATACTCTAAACTTACCAATCTACATCAGACCAACACAATGACACAAGCATGCATCACTATCAGTCTAGAATCTGCGGTCATGATCGTTTCTCACAGAGTTTGAGAGGGTGTGTCGGGCATGTTCCATCAAGCCAAGCCCCATTCCTAGGCCCTGAATCTGCACTTGTAACCCTGCCTGCACCCTTAACCTGCGAACACCCTAAACCTTGAACCCCAAACCCCAAACCCCAAACCCCAAACCCTAAACCCTAACCCCTGAACCCCCAAACCCCTGAACCCCAACTCCCAAAGGACTGGTTGGTAGGCGAAGTCTGGCGATGCGCGCGGCCTCTCGAGATCAGGCATGGACAGCATCAGTTGAGGCTTCGGGCTCTTATGGCGCTTAGGGTCCCGGGTTTATCTTTCAAAAATGGCGAAGGTATTATTCCCTGAGCTTGAGATAGCTCTAAACCTAGAGCCCCAAACCCTACGGTTTTCCTGGAGCTGGTTATGGGTGCTCACCTCTCTTGGCGTAGCCTGGATGCCCTATCCGCACATGTTCCGCACATGTTCTGATACCACGCTGGGGCGCATCAGCCAGACCTTAATCAACACTAGACCTTCCAACTCCAAAGCCTGCCTTTCATGATTGAGCTTTAGGACCGTTTTGAGCTTCTGAGCATTGTCCGCATCGCTGAGTGGTGTCAACATGCCCAAATGTCAGGAGTGAGGGCCTCCCACTGGAGACGATGCAAGAGTCCTTGTGCGGCACTGGCGCTGACCTCCATAACCCCCTGAACCCTAAACCCTAAACCCGAAGCCCTCAGCCTAAGAGCCCGAAAATCCTGTCTCGTTTTGGCAGCTTTGCAGGGGGAACCTGGGTGTTGTCAATTGCTGAATTTTCAGGTTGTTTTTACGGTGTTGTATTGGGGTGAAAGCCAGGTACCTTGATGAGTCGAAATAGGATTTTGGGGAGGTTGTTTTAGGATAATTCTATACTCGTAGGGACCATAAGGGAATACTGTTCGTACTTGATTCGTAATTATTCCGACCCCTATACCCTAAACCCTAAACCCTAAACCCTAAACCCTAAACCCCAAACCCTAAACCCTAATCCCCAGACCCTACACTGCCCTTCAGGGCTTCGGGCGCACTTTGTTCAGCCAATCGGCCTGAGCCCGTCACGCCATTGCCAAGGATCATGGTCGATTTCGCTCGACTGGCAGGTCCGGGCCATTTGGGTTTGGGGTTTAGGGTTTAGGATTTAGGGTTTATATAGGGTTTAGGGTTCAGGTAGTTTGAAAGGTTTAGCGGTTTGGCGTCTATGGCCCGACCACCAATCACAAAACCTGAACCTTAAAGGCTCTTGCAAAGCTTTGGATCAGGGTCCAAGTGATGGTCCCCACCCGCACTCCGCGCAACCTTCGAGGCCCCAATGCCTCCTCGTCTGACTTTGAGCCCCAAACCACAAAAATCCTGATCCGCAAGAGATAACCCTAAACCCCAAACCCTAAGATCCCTTACTCGACCCCAACCCCCGCAAGAGGTCGCTCTGCACGTCGAGGAGTCATCCTCGAGCCCCTAGAAGAGGCCAAGGGTATAGGTTTGGGTTAGAAGTTGCAGCATTGCGTTGTTTTTCGTGTGTTGGCTTTTAGAGGCTCCTGTGGAAGACCTGCCAAGCTACTGAACTTTAGGATTAGAAAGCAGAATGGGGCCGCGCTGGGTGGAACAGCGCCTAGATAAATATCAGGTCTCTGAAGTATGGTCTTTTCTTCGTTCCCTGTCATGACCGGCTCCTTCCACGCAGGCTTCCCAAAGAAGGACTTCAATGCAGTGAGCTGACCATGGCCTAAAAATGTTCGCCTTCCAAACGCCGGGTGGGCTCAAGATCTTTTAGACCTCCAAGACACTCGGCCTTAGAGCCCGATTGCGTCGCGCCCTTCCTTATTCGTTAGGATAACCCCTCCCACATCTGACAATCAGGACTTGGGTTTGCAAGAGTTGGCCCCTAAGCTGCAAAGTGTGCACATCGAACCCGAGGCGGTGACAGCCAAAGACAAAACTCGAAAGAAGAGCAAAGGGAGCACACTTTTCGCTTCGCCCCTACGTCAGTCGAACTCAGAAGCCAACCCTAAGGCCCTAACCCAAGCTCCTTGCACCCTAAACCAGCAGCTGGCTGGTTCTTAGTAGGGAATGAGGGAATGAGGTACCTTATATAATCCCTTCAAGGGTATATATAGGGCCCTAGTCCCGTCAGTCCGTACTAAGAACCAGGGGGGACAGCCCTGCTATGCCTTGCGAGGAATTCAGCCCAGCTGGCCGAACGCGGCATGCAAAGGCAAGGTGAGAGTTCAGTGTTGAACGATCGTTCGACTTGCCTAGGGTTATATGTTGAGATGTTCCCCCTTATACTCAGAGTCCTCAATAGGGGTTCTAGTACCCCCCATTGTTCGTAAAAAGGGGGAGCATCCCAAGTTGTATGTGATATTGGCTTCACAGGTTTGGCGTTTATGCGGTTTGGGTTCGGCAGGCTTCCTCAGAGGCGGAGGGATGGAGAACTGGAGGGTGTCGGCTGTTGAGCATTGGGATGAGATTTCCGAGTCTGCGATGCGCGGATTATTGTGTGTTGCGCAATCCTTCCCCAGTCCGGTCCCCTGCGGCAAGCTTCCTACAGTAACGTGCCAAAGAACAACCATGGAAAGTCTGCCCTAAGAGATGCTTAAGCAAACCTTATAGAATCACTTCAAGGACAGAGGGAGGGAGGGAGGGAGGGAGACAGAGAGAGAGGAGAGTCCTTGGATGCGCAATGGCATAGGAAGTAGGGTTTAGGGTTCGGGTTTAGGGTTTAGGGTTGAGGGTTGAGGGTTTAGGGTTTAGGGTTTTTGGTTCAGGGTTTAGGGTTTAGGGTTTAGGGTTTAGAGTTTAGGGTTTAGGGTCTACACCTTAAACACGAAAACTTCCTGAGAAGGACCCCGTGGAGCTGCTGCAGCAGGTGGCAGCCAGCCAACTCCGGCAGCTTTGTTTCAAGCGCAGCCTTTTGGGGATTGGAGGGTTGAAAGCATGTGCAGAGCTTTTAGTGACTTTAGTGCTTAAGGTTGAGAGGGTTGTGTGTGTGTGTGTCTTTTTTGGGGTTGAGGGTTGAGGGTTTAGGGTTTAGTGTTTAGGGTTTAGGGTTTAGGCTTAGGGCGTGGGATTCAAACTCACCTTCCAGCTCACCCCTTCCAGGTAGACCGCAAGCCCTCCGAAACCCCTTCTTCCCCCTTACGTGACCTGAACCCTAAACCCTACACCCTACGCGCTAAGCCCTGAACCCTGAACCCTAAACCCTAAACCCTAAACCCTAAACCCTGCACCTCCCCTTTCAGGCGCCTGGAGAGGCAAGGCTTCGACTCACCCCGGGCGGCCTTAGGTTTTCAGGCGCCGGGCTTGCACAGTGATCAGAGTTTGGGGACCCTAACCCTCCCTAAAACCCTGACGCCCTAAAGCCCTAAAACCCTAAAACCCTGAAACCCTAAAGCCCTAAAGCCCCAAACCCTAAACCCTAAACCCGAACCCTGCAAGCCTTTTTCGAATCCTTTCCAGATTCAAAGATGTTGGAGATTTGAAGCAGGGAGGGTTGCAAAGAAGCTTCCGCCATGAAATGCGGGGTATTGCACTACCCCGCATTCCATGGGCGCGAGCGCGTTTGATATGAAGCAGGTTTATGTGACTGTTTTTGGTGAGTGTATATAAGGTTCCTTTTTTAATATTGGTGAGTGTATATACTTGGTGTCCTTTTGGGGGTACAAGAAATATAGACCCTGCTTCATATAGTAAAATGGAGGAGGGTGGGACCCCAACGAAGGCAATTGCTGCCTGAAGCCCTAAACCCACTTAAGCTCGCCTAGGCACCATTCGAATTGTCCCTGTTGGGTCTTGAAGTGTACTGCGGTTGAGGATTTCTGGTCTTTACGCAAAGGTACCATGAGTGGAAGTATGTGGCTGGGCGATTTTAGGTTGAGGGCAGTTCGGGGCTGCGATTTTGCTGCGCGAGATTCTGAGATTCAAGAATTGCTCTGTTCCGAAAGGATCTTCAGGTGTGTGCTATTGCTAGTGCAACCTTTAAGCCCTACAAGCTTACCCTAAGCCCCCTAAACCCTAAACCCTAAACCTTAAAAGCAGACAGGACAGCAACTTTCTGGACAAGGCCTCGGCTGCGCAAGAGTTCATCACACGCCTGGCAGTCGGCATCTTCCCACAAGGCCGGTGGTTTGGTCAAGGGCGCTGAGCCCCGAGATGTTGTAGGCCGGGTTTCGTGAGAGTTGGGAGTGCTTTTGGGTTTAAGTTTGCGGGCTTAGTTGCCAGTGGAATCCGCAGAGTTCATTGTAGTGAAGGCTGTCATTTGGCAGGGAATTTGGGATGTGACGGTTTGGCTTGAGGTCCCGTTGAAATGCCGGGCTGAGCCGTAAGTTGAAGACTATGAGTTTGGGGGGATGCAGGTCATAATCCCTGCGTTGCAGGCACCATCAACAAGCAGGCCATGAAGGACTACCGCGCGACCTTGGTGACGGCGCGTATCAACGGATTTGGCATCCGAAATTTTCTGCAGCTTCAGACGAGCTACAACGCCACACAGATGCATGGGAGTTCGGAGCGATTCAATCGGAAATGTCATGTTCCAAGGGTCCACGATTTCTATGTCTTGCGTAGGACTCACTTGCAGAGCTATATAGACACAAAAGGAGCTCCCAACTGCTCACTGTCAAGGCCATCGGATTGGATTTCCTGGGCGTGGACAGCCTCTACCAGACCACCTACGAGGGACTGCCTCGGCTGGCCATACAGGAGTGGGACACCGTGACAGGCGCTGGGGCCCATTTCTCTGCCGATATCAGGCGTACTCTGGGGGCCTGAATAACTAGAATAGGGTTTTGGGTATAATTATGAAGGGGCCATAGAGGAATACTATTAGTAGTTATTCCGACCCAAAAGTAGGCTTGCAAGTAGGCCGTGGCCCAAAACTGATCCCGAGCGAGCCTTCCTTCCGCCAGAGCCACAGCCGAAACCACAAAAACACTGAGCTCCTTAAACCCCTGAAACAAGACCAAGGGAGGACGGACGTAGATTTCAGGTTGAAGAAATCTGAAGCCTTGAGATTTGGCTGTGATTTTTTGTGGTTGCGAGGCGCCTCCTTGGGGCGGTTGGGTTGTTAGGGTTTAGGGCTTGGGGCTGAGGGTTTTAGTGTTTAGGGTTTGGGGTTTAGGGTTTAGGGTTTAGGGTGCAGGGTTCAATCAGAAGCCCCATGCCTCGCCGCAGAAGCAGTTTAAGCGGGTTGTGCTTAGCGAAGCGTTTGCACTTTTAGCGTCTCGGTGTTACATCGGAACAGATAGTAGCACGTGGAGCGAAGCGACGCGTGTTTAATATTGTCGTTGTTGTTAGTTCTGCTGCTCAAGGCAGGGGTACAGCTTGCAGCAGTAGGTAGCTGGCAGGATTCTTTCGATTGAGCCATGCTGACTGGTGATTTTGGTGACTGCGTTGTCGCCAACACCGGGGTGCTGTCGGCTTTTCAACATTGGCCGGCTACGAGGCTGGCCACATTGGCAGATTTGTCCGACGCTGAGCCGCTGCTATTTCTGCGGGGCATGTTGGACTGGAAGCAGACGAGACGGAGCTGGAAGATTTCAAGGCATTGCTTGCAGCAGTCCTGCCGTGGGCGAAGGCCTCGTGGTCTGCGGCGGGCTCCGAAGCTTCTCTGTGGGCTGCTCGTGCTGTGAAACGAGCTCGTGTGGAGCGGAGCACTCCTCTGGAAGCGGTTGCAGTTTCTTCTCAAGCGCCTCCGACAACGGCAGGTCAGGAACGGTTGCCTAAAACAGTGGCGAGTTGGAGGCCTGCGAAAGGTGGCGGAGATTTGGCTCTTGTTGATGTCGAGGAGCAGAGGCAAGGGCAAGAGTCTTCGATGCGGGCGCGCTGGATAAAGGAGCTGGCATGCTTAGTGGAAAAATGCGGTCTTCCGGCGGCTGGGCCCTTTGTCGGGCCTCAGCGGGAATTGGCCATGAAACGGCTCGGAAAAGGACGGCGTCCGGCGACTTTGCGCAAGCACGTGAGAACGTGGCAGCGCATTTCCCGTTGGATCTCGTGCGCCTTTGGTGTTTCATGGCCATCTGCAGAGCACTTCGTCGCTTACCTGCATGTGCGGGCCGCTGAGCCTTGTGGTCGCACTGTGCATGCAAGCTGCCTCAAATCTTTGCTTTTTCTGGAATCAGCGGGCGAGCTGTCGGAGGCTGACAAGGTCAGTCGTCATCCGGCCATTCGTAACAGCCTCGAGGAGCTGGCCCTTGAATTGTCAGACAAGGATCTGCGTGGCAAGCGGCAAGCGTGTCAGTTGCTGGTCACACAGGTCTGCGCCATGGAACGTCTTGTGGTGAGTGGCAAGGGGCCTCGCTTCATTCGGGCTTTTGCTTGGTTTAGGTTGTTTAAGTTGTGGGGCTGTCTGCGTTACTCGGACACCGAAGGTATGCCAGCCAAGTCAGTGAGTTTGGAGCATCGCGGTTTATGTGCGCGGCTTGATCGCACAAAAACTAGTGGCCCAGGCAAGAAGCTGGAAGTGCTGTTCGCCTACGTGTCCAAGGATGCTTGGCTTGTGGAAGCAGATTGGCTCAGCTGCGGTTGGCCAAGCCGAGATCTGGAGGGCTGCGTGGGAAAAATGGCTCGCTACTGTCGCGCTGCGGCCATGTCACAGGCTTTGTTCCAGTCACTGGAGATTGCGCCGTGCAAAGCGGCGGAGTTAGCAGCCTGAGGCGAAGCTCATGCCCATGGGTTTAGGTGTGCTGCTGTGGAGCGAGCATTCCGAGCGAGCCACGATGCGGAGCTGGTCTGCGTGTTGCGATGTATGGGAGGTCCCGATTTCCTAGATGAGGAGAGCATTCTGTCCAAGGTAGCGCGGCGCCTTGACGACCTGGGCTTGGGCCATTCTGCGCTGCAGCCGTTGTACAGCTTCGCGGTGGATTCAGCAGAAACTGCGTCACTTACAGCCAGTGAGCATTCTGATGAGGATAAGGGTGTGGAGGCTTTGGCGGCAGAGTCTGAGCCGGTTCTGCTCGAAGACACAGACGCGCATCTGGGGCGGTTTTTCCTGAGCATTGTTGGGTCTGCGAAGCGCAAGACTCTGCACAAAGGAGGTGCATGCCATCGCGTTCCCGGCGTGCGCTACCGCCGCTTTGTCGACTGCGGCACTGAGTACCCACGCCGCGATGCCTATGACCGTGTTTGTAGGGATTGCTTCCCACGTGGTGTGGTTGCAGGAAACGACAGCAGCTCCGATGAAGCCGATGGTTCATCTTCGTCTTCTGAGACTGATGCAGCGTGAGGGCTCCCCTTTTCAGCGTCCTAGCTTCAAGCAGGGCTTCAGGGCTAGGACCTGGGCGCTGTGGTGCCTGGGTTTTCTCCACGGCAGGATGCAGGCTTGCCGGCTGTGGAGGAGTGAAGGACTTGCAGGGTGTGAAAGGGTCAGTTGCTGGTGCGCTAGGGCGTGCTGGTTTCTTCTTGGAGTGGCCGAGCAGGCGTGTTGCGCGGTGCTTTTGCAGCAGCTTGTCTTTGCTTCTCTCTCAGGTGGAAGTGATTGTTGTCGCTTGGCCTTGCTTGTCTTTCTTGCTTTGCACTTGCGATCATGGCAGAGGAAGAGCTCGCAGAAGCGCGAGTTGGAGATGATCAAGTCGCTGGACCCAGACCTGGCGGGCCTCTTGCAATGCAAAGAGGTCTCACTCAAGACGCAGGCGCTGTTGGCGTCCAAGAAAGTCGAAACCATCAGTCGCTTATCAGCAATGGTGGACGACCGCAAGGCTGTGCAGGAGTTCTGCGCAAAGGCGCTGGGTTTGGCGCCAGACGCCCCCGAGAGCATGGTGGAGGTGGCGTCTGTGGTGGACGCTTGGGAATCAGCCTGTATGCGTGTGGAGGCCAGGAATAAAGCGGAGGCTGAGGCAGTGGTGGGCGGCCTTCCCAAGGTCGTTGCACGCACTGAGCTGGCCCAACTGAGGGAGCGATTCGAGGCTTCCTTCTACAGCTTGCCGGACAAGTTGATGCCAGCCAATGCCACATTGGAGCAGCATTTTGATATGGTAGACAATGGAGAGTTCCAGTATCTTTCTCTGAAGGTGTACGCGTCCAGGGAAGATGCGGCCCGGGAGCCTTTTGCGGCTTCCATCGACAGGAGCACGGGCACGATCAAAGTTCGCAAAGGCCAGGTGGCGGTCCCACTGCCAAGGACTGCTGAAGAACTGCGCCTACGTCTACGCTTGGTGCCCCATGCGTTTGTGCTTTGTTCTTTGCGCTACCCCCATGTCGCGTCCTTGAAAGGCATTGCTCCGTCGCACTTACAATTACGCCGACTTTCTTTTGGGCGACTTCGTTCTGGGTTTGCAAGCTCGGGATGCAGCAGGTGCCGCAGTGTCTTCACCGGCTTTGCAGCAGATGCTGGCCTACGAGTACCAACTGCGCAAAAGCATGATGAAGGGTTTGAACGAGGGCAAGAGTCTGGCGTCAGCCATGGAGCAATCTATGGCCGATTTGGTTCTCAAGGAGCGCTATTTTTGTCACCCCCTGTGCTTTGAGTGCAGTCAGCCAGGCAAGCCGGCCAAAGTGCGTGAGCACTCCCGCCGTCGTGGGCGACAAGGCGGGCCTCAAAAGGGGCTCGGCAAAGGGAAAGGTAAGTCGCTGGGTCTTGCCAAAGTGTGGAATAAGTTGAAGCGTGTTACGGATGACGGGCAGCAGATCTGCTTCAAGTTCAAGGGTCAGTGTGACCGTGCGCATGTTTGTCAGCTATGCCTTGCCAAACATCCCGTGCACGCGTGCCCGTTGCTGCGAGAGGACAAGGCAGGCGTTGGTGTGCCGATCCAGGAGTGACTCGGGGCGGAAGCAGGCGCGCCCGTGGTGGGCAGTGCCGCTGGCAGTGCACCGGCTGCGGCGGACGCTGCTGCGGCCGGCTACTGCGGTTCCGGCCGGCCCATCCAGGCATCTTACAAGGGCAGGTCACGTTCTATCCATGATGGCGGTGGTTTGTGCTCTCCGGGGAGATGGCCGATTGCGTCACGCCGTTTCCCTCAGTCAGACAGTTTTGCCCGGGTCAGAGAGTGCGTTCGGCGCTCTTTCCTGGACTGGATTGCTCTGCTGGATTCGCAAGCCTCCTGCGCTGGGGGTGCGCAAGGATTATTTTGGCAGCTCGCAGCAGGCAGATGTTCTTCGTCGCCTTTTGACGGGCGGCATCTACGGCAAGCCAGACAGGAGTTGGATGACGTTCTGCGTGATTGTGGCGTGCAGCCAGAGCGTTGCAGTGGCGATCGCAGAACTGAGGTGAACTTTCGTAGGCTGGCCGCGATGCTGGAGGTGGCGGAGGACCCAGACTTTGAGTTCTTGCGCGAGTTTGCTTCTGTGGATTCCACGTTGGGAGTTGATGTGTTGATGCCTCGCACACCGGCGGTCTTCGAGGAGAAGACGCGCTGGAATCTGCCCGAGGCGGAAGGCTCTTTTGAGCCTACGTTCTGTGAGAATTACAGATCGGCGACAGAAAACATGGAGGACGTTCGGCGTCAGGTGGCGGAGGGCTTGCAGCGCGGTGCGGTTGTGGCTTTGTCCAAAGAGGAGGCCTTGCGGAAGTATGGCGGCCAGCTGGCTGTAGCGGCACTTAGTGCTGTTCCAAAGGAGGCGGGGTCGTCAGCTGTCCGCATCATCCACGATGCCACGCATCATGTGGAAGTTAACCCTCGCATTCGTGTCCGAGACAGACTTCGCTCGCCGATGATCGATGACCTCGAGGGCGTTTTGCGGCAGCTTCGGGACGACTGCAAGCGTCGGGTTTGGCGTCAAGTATGATGTCAGCAGAGCGCACAATTTGGTTCCCGTGAGAGAAGAGGATTGGAAGTACCAGGCGTTTTGCCTTGATGACCCAGAAGTAATCTACATGCACACTGTCGGGACATTTGGCTTGGCGTCAGCGGCGTATCATTGGCAGCGGCTCGCAGCAGCGGCTGTGCGCTTGGGGCACTATCTGTGCGAGCTGGCCGCCGCGCTGTACCACTTGCTATATGCTGACGATGGATTGCTGCTTGCTTCAGGGAAGTGTTTTTGGTTGCAGATCCTCTTTTGGCTTTACATCTTCGAACTTCTGGAATTCCCTTTGTCCTGGAAGAAAGTTGCTGGAGGGACGTCCTTATGCTGGATTGGCTACAAGCTCGACGTTGCAAAGTATGAGAAGGGCATTGGCCCGAGCAAGGTGGCGTGGCTCTGCGAGTGGGTTGCTGGGAGGCTGCAGGAAGGTTGCGTGCAGGGCCGCGTCATGAAGAGCGTGTTGGGGCGGCTCTCTTTTGTGGCGGGAGCGCTGCCACATGTCCGGCCATTCCTGGGCCCCTTGTATGCCTGGGTAGCTCATCTGCCTCAGGGGCTTGTCGCATTGCCTTTGTCGGTTTGCTTATTGCTTGAGTTCATCAAGAGGGAGGTGGAGCGCGGGCCGATGACTATGCCCCGACCTTTGCTGGAGCACGCGCAAGACATTTTCAGGGTCGATGCAAAGGCGGAGGGTGACAAGGTTTGAATTGGTGGCTGGGAATCATGTCTGAGTGCCGACACCTTGCAAGCGCATTGGTTCTCTGTCAGGCTGGACCGGACCCGTGGGCCTATATATGTCAAAGGTGAGCCTTTTCGCGCAATCGCGGGCCCTGGAGCTCATCGCCACACTGGTGGCGGTTTGCGTTTTCGGGCCTAGCGCAGTGTGGCGTCAGAGCACAGCAATAGCGGTCGTTGCCGGCTTGACGGACAACGCTGGCAACACATTCGTGGTGGACAAAATGATGACGACAGCCTTTCCTTTGTCGGTCATCTTAAGTGATGGAGCTGGCAGTACAGTTGGAAGAGCTAGGGTCGGTTCTGTCATTGTCTTGGGTGCCGCGAGAGCAGAATGTCCCCGCGGACGCGCTGACCAACGAGGACTTCAATGGTTTCGATCCGCGCAAGCGGGTGAGTGTTGACGTCACAGAGCTTGGCTTCAAGATTTTGCCCAGGTTGATGGACGCAGCGACGCATCTCGACGGTGAGATTCGCTTGGTCAAAGAACAGAAGCGGAGTCAGCGCTGTGTAGCATCAGCCGGGCAAGCCAAGTCTTGCAAGGCGCCTTTGCACCAGAGTGACCCTTGGTGAGCTGCCCTTGCTGGTGCGGTCAGGGCGGCTGCGCGAGGTTTCTTCCTTCGGTTGGGAGGTTCTTCCTCGCGCTTGGGTTGAGGGTGAGGTAGGTTGCGGCGTGTGTTCTGTGGTCTCTTGCAGCGCCGCGTCTTTGCAGCTCAGGTTGCCTGCGAAGAAAGGAGTCAGCGGTTTGCCTGCGGCTTGCAAGTCTAGGAGGGAGACTTGTGAGGAATTTAAACAGGAAGGGATCCGCCAGCCCAACTAAAAGTCCTTCGGTTGGGAAGTTGGTTTCTTTCAGGCTTGGGTAGGCTGGACGGACTCGGCTGCGCATCCCACAGCAAAAAGGATGCGCCTGCCATTTTGCAAGGGAATGTGACAGTGTAACTTGAGAGACGCGGGTTGTGCTTAGCGAAGCGTCTGCACTTTTAGCGTCTCGGTGTTACATCGGAACAGATAGTAGCACGCGGAGCGAAGCGACGCGTGTTTAATATTGTCGTTGTTGTTAGTTCTGCTGCTCAAGGCAGGGGTACAGCTTGCAGCAGTAGGTAGCTGGCAGGTTTCTTTCGATTGAGCCCACCACCGCCCCACTCGCCTCCGGGAAGTTGGTTTCTTTCAGGCTTGGGTAGGCTGGACGGACTCGGCTGCGCATCCCACAGCAAAAACCCATTTTGCAAGGGAAAGGGTTTCACGGCGTGTGAGGGGCAGGTGGGTGGGCCTTCTGTGACAGTGTAACTTGAGAGACGGAATGTTCCGAACAGAATCAGCCTAAACCTTCAGGCCTAAACTGCCTACAGGCTTGCAGGCTCCTAGAAGGGGGTGCGTTCTATCCCCACTTATATCCCCCCTGTAGGGACCCTAGTTTCCCGAGTTCCCTACTAAGCAAGTGAGCTTAAAGAAGCCTACTTGCAAGATGGTCCGCTCGGCTTCAAAATCTGGCGCTGGCTGTTGCTTGCCCGTCCACAGGCCTCACGAATGAGGGATACAGCGCTTGGGGGGGGTTCAGAGAAGCTCGATCGCTGAGGGTGTGCAGAGAATCTCGCATGAATATATGTGTGTGCAGCTCGCGAGCAGCAGCCTTGTCGATCCCCCGGAATCGCATTCCTCAAATTGATAAGGGGGGAGCTCACAAGCTAACAGAACTCCTACTGCCATTCGCAACTTAGCCTTTTCTGCTTGCAGGGTCTCTTGCTCCCACAACCTTGACCCGCCGTCTGCCCCCCTGAGATCTTGTCGCAATCCTTGGAGAAGCTCTTGGAAATCTTCATCACCACCTTGGTAGAATCAGGAGGCCCGCAGTTGAACAAGGAGGCCGGGAGGAGGGCCCCCGGGAGGGGCAAAGCCGCGGTGCTTCAGACCCTAAGCCCTAAACCCCAAACCCCAAATCCTAAACCCTAAACCCTAAACCCTAAAAGCGATTTGGGTTGAGACTTGTTGTTCCCCAAGAGCCTGAACTGTCCTGCCATCAGCAGCGGTGTTCTGCGCAACTCGTGGCTGTTGCTTTATGAGCCTAGCGTTTAGGGTTTAGGGTTTAGTGTTTAGGGTTTAGGGTTTAGGGTTTACGGTTTAGGGTTTACGGTTTAGGGTTTAGGGTTTAGGGTTTAGGGTTTAGGGGCCCAACCCTAGGATGTCGGCTTGGGGTGAGGCTTAGGCTAGTAGGGCTGACAGTTTTTAAAAGGTGACCTTCATTCTGGTGTCCCCGAGCTGCTTCTCAAAACAAATGACGGCCAGAAGCTGCACACACCCCCCCAGCTTTTTCAATAAGTCGAAGAGTGGAGCGTACCCTTAGCTTGGTGCCCGGCCCGGAAGTTTGAGGTAGGACGGGCCAAAGTTTAGGGTTTAGGGTTCTGACAGACCTGGCTGGGAGGTGCTGCTCTGGCATGTGCTCCTGGCGGCCGCCCTGCAGTCCGTGGACTTGCTGGACGCCGTGCCGCTGCTGCTGGAGCCGGCTGGGGGGCTTTTGGACATTTTTGGTTTGGGGCTTAGGGGAGGTTTAGTTTGGCCATGGTGTGTGTGTGTGTGTGTGTTGTTTTTTTTTGTTTTTTGTTGTTCTTTTGGGGCTTGTTGGGTCCTCGGTTCTGCGGTCGCCAGTGGCCACAGCCCAGAGCCAGGTCGTCAACCAGGTTTTTCAGAACCCGCCCTACACCAGAGCTTGTAATCGGGTCTCACTGACAACCCTAACAAGGCACGGAGCCCTCTTCGATCAACCCCTGACGCTGAACTTGACGAAATCCCCCTGATTAAGTCCCAATCCTCTCTACGCCCACAAAGGCCCTCCAAACCCCCAAACAAAAACCTCCTGCATCACTTGGTATTTTCTCCTTATCAGTCCTTAATGGGGGTTATGATTGGGGTACTATAACAGAAAGGACTGTTAGTATAAGGGGGAACATCCCAATGCACCACTACTACATCGGGCGTGTTTAGGGTTCCTCTGCTCTGCAGGAGAAGATCCCTCGAGAAAGCTGGCCGAGCATCAAGTCGCTGGCAGATCCAAGGCTTCACGAGCCAGCCCTAAACAAGCGTAGGGTTTAGGGTTTAGGGTTTAGGGTTTAGGGTTTAGGGTTTAGGGTTTAGGGTTGAGCCACACAGAAAGTTCAACAAACCATCTTTTGCCCTCAGCGGTCTTGCAGCAAGTCCTTCTGTTGAGTTCAGGGGCTGGAAAGTAGGACTTCGGGCTTAATATTCGAGGTTGGAGCTTGGGGGCGCCCCACTTGTGCGGGGGAGGTGGGAAGGGATGCTGCCCCGTATGGCTATGCCTTGCTCTCCCAGAGAGTTTTCCCCCAGGCCCAAACGCCTAAACCCCTAAGCCCTAAAACCCTAAACTCAAACTTCCCCCCACCCCCCACCCCCCAAACCCCACCACCAGAAGGGGGCGGACCATAGGCGGAAGTGAGGGGGGCGATGTACGTCACAGGAGGTAGCGGGGACATTCAGGCTTGAAATAATTGTTGGGTTTCCACACCAATTGTCGCATCGTCGGGCTCAGGTTGCAGCATGTCATGGCTGAGATTTTGAAGCGCACATGTGCAGGATGATGGTAAAGCCACGTCGGGCCCGAGGCACCCCAGCAAGGCTCCATCCCACTTCTACCCGCATGAAGAACCGGAATAATCCCTGTGGCTACAACCATCCCCAAAGAAGATGGAGCGCTGGAGTTTAGGAAGGATGGGGCCTGAAAGGCCCTTATCGAGCATGGCAAGCCCACATTCCTACTCTCTGTGAGCTCGCAGTGCTTCCTAGCCGGGTTGAGGGCTTCGTCCCACTTTCACACCTTCGAACTTGCCAGTCCGCGTATTTCTTCCAGGGCAGTTGGGAGGCTTCCAGGAGCTTCAGGGCAGGAGGGGTTCTCTCTGATTGGTTTTCGGGGTGGAGGGCTGTAGGCCCCGTAGAACCCTAGTAGCTCATAGCTCTGATTCTCATACTTCCCTAAGCCGTATAGTCTGGCCTACTACAGACTGCTCAAGGCCACACAGGCAAATATCACTCGAACCCTCAAATTCCCGAAACTCCAGATGCCACATCCACCATTGATCCACCCAACCTTGACCCTAAACCCCAAACCCTAAACCCTAAACCCGAAAAGGCTACACGAAGGCCGCGCGGGCGAGTTGTGGCTCACGGCCAAGGCTTTCGCCCCCTGGATCTGACTGAGCGATGGTGTGATTGTGTTCTCGAAGGCACTTACAATTCACGGTGCCTCTATCGCAAAGCTTTGAGAAAAAAAAATATATATATATATATATATATATATATGAAAAGAACACACATATGCATTTATATATGTATTAAATGGGTATGAGGGGGGCGGGGAGGGGGGGGTGATGAGAAGGGCTTTAGGGAAGGAAAGCGTGCAGGATTGGCTTTGCAGCGCACGCCCCTCCTTCCCCAAGGTCTCCGCGTTGCCACTGCAACTTGCGCCCCCACCTTCCTCCATCCCCCCGCCCCTCCAAGGCACCCCCTGAGAAGCGAACAAACGCCTGGAAGTGGAACTGCATATGGAAGAAGATGAAAAGCAAACGGGGGGTGGAACTGCCAACCCCCGCCCCCCCTCTTGCAGGAACGTGGAACTGAAAGTTGAAAACAAGCCCTCTTAAGCCAACGTCGACGAAGTGGAACTTCCGCCTCCACCCGGGGTCTCAGCCTTTGGACTGCTTGAGGTGCTAAGGAGAGATAGGATTTGTTGAGAATGCTCTTCAGCATATTTCGGACATGTCCGGGCTGTAGTACTCTAGCCTCTAGTACTGCATTGGTAATAAGGTGCACGTGGCCATCGTTACTCAGCGTTACGACCTGGTCGCCAAGCTGGAGATGGGCGCTGCAACTTGGCAAGCAAGCAAAACGTCTGTGCGTTCCGTGTCGGATAGGGTCTGCTGAGTCTCCTCATTCCAGCAACCCGGGACCACGAATACTGATTCCAGCAAGAAGCTCAGCCCTGACTGCATCTTCAGTGTTCTTGGTTCTGGGGGTGTAAGGCAGCCCCCAAAATGAGTTTTGGTTTTGAGGCGAAGTGCTTCTGTGGCAAGGGAGGGGTGCTTAGCATGAGGTTTGGCGGAGAGAGTGTACCTTTCTCGACTAAACCCTAAACCCTAAACCCTAAACCCTAAACCCTAAACCCTAGACCAAACCCTCAACCCTAAACCGTAAACCCTAAACCCTAAACCTATGGATCCTGACAGCGCCAAGCCCGAAATCTTCGCCACGAACATGCTGGTTCAGAACAACCGGCGAGGAGGCAACAAACATCTGCAGCTCGGTTTGCACTTGGTGACATGTGCGTTTCAATGACGTTGGATGGAGGGTGCATGGAAACCTTCAGACAGGCAGGGCGGCGCGAAGTGCGAGAAGGCTTAGGATTGAAGGTTGGGTTTGAGGCGAGAAGTCGTACGCTGCTTTGACCACAAGAGCGTGGGCACTTGGATACCCGGCACAAGCCACGAGAATCCCAAAGCTCTCAGGCCTTGAGGGTTTAGCGTTTTTGCCCTCAACCGCACATCCTGAGCCTCTGAACCCCTAAACCCAAAACCCCAAACCCTCAACCCTAAACCCTAAACCCTCAGCCCTGACCCCTGAACCCTCGCCCTAAACCCTATGCCTCAGGACGGCTGTGTTTGTGGTGCCCGGCGATGGCCGCGAGGCCTCCGGGACTGGGTAGAGGAGGGACCCCTAGAGGGGACCCTTCATCTAATTCCCCCTAGATCACCCCTTCATATACCTCATATATATATATATATACCGTATATATATATATATATATGTAGTCCTTATATGACCCCCAAGGTCCCTTATAAGGGTCCCTGCTTTCGTCCCTTGGCGTAGAACCCAAACCGCAGGCAGAGGACCTCGACCGTGAGCCCCTCTAAGCTCAGAAAGTGTGGGGCCCACTCTTTTCATTAGTCAAGCTGTTGATATGAGGTCAACAAAGCTTGACCCCTGAAACCCTTAAACCCTCAAACGTGGTTCCGGTGTTTTTGTTTGCTTAGGTCTGGCTCTCCCTTTTTCTTACGTCTGGCAAGCCTTGTCCCCCTGGTTCTTTGGTCCTTTGGTCCGGTAGTTTTCAGTGGTCCTCTGTTCTGTTGTCCCCTCCTCTAGCCGCGTCAAAGCTGCAAGCTTACCTGATACATGAAGGTTTGCACCTGGAACCTAGGAACCCTTTTCAAGCCCATCATGCGTGCATTGTTGGGGGGGTTGTGCAGCACCCCCCCCCCCCGCCCTTCAACCCCGGAGTCGTTTTTCAAGTCGTGCAAGCTGCAAGTACAAGTGTTTGCTGCTGTGCCAAACTGCACACTTCTACCTTATAAGGAAGAACATGCGGTGAGCAGGACTTGCGTTTTGAACACGCGAATCAAGGCGGCCCTTTTGATTGACCAGCTCTCACATCCCTGATTTGCCGTTTTTGGCACGTTTTCCCACGAGCTGGAAAAGCTGAAAGCACAGCGCTTGCAGGAGTCGAGCCAGACCTAGAAAAAAGAGGGGAGGGTGGGCGGAGTGCCAGACCTAAGAAAAAGGCAAACACCCTCCCTTATCATCCCTTATGTTGATCCTAAACCCTAAACCCTAACCCTAAAATCTAAACCCCAAACCCTAAACCCTAAACCCTATAAACCCCAAACCCTCAACTTCGGAACCCCCAGCTTCGCGCGGCGGCCTCGGTCACCTCGGAGCTGCTGATGATTCTGCCCCCTGAGACGCCGGGCTGCGCAATGCTGGCGCCCTGGTTGCGTTGAGGGTTTAGGGTTTAGGGTTTAGGGTTTAGGGTTTAGGGTTTAGGGTTTAGGGTTTAGGGTTTAGGGTTTAGGGTTTAGGGTTTAGGGTTTAGGGTGGGGGAGGCTTCCGGCTGCGAGCCTGTCAGATCCTAAGGCAGTTGCAAGGTACCGAATGGCCGGCACATACCCTAAACCCTAAACCCTAAACCCGAATGTCATCAAAGTGAGAGGCGTTTGGGGCATGAGGAGGGTTGGAGGTTTTCGGCAATGCTCGGGTTGATGTTTGTGTGAAGGTCTACACGACACCCCGAACCCTCAATACCTAAGCCCCACACATCCGAAACCTTAAAGCCAACCCTCAGCTCGTGGAGTCTATAGCTACGAGCTGCTCCACTGTAGGAATACAGGTTTCTGAAGTTCGGCATCTGGATGTTGAGCGGTGCACACTCCAACACGACGACCCGCTCAGTTTAGTTTGAGTCTTGAAGCACTCGGGCTTTAGAGTTAGGGTTACGGGTTTAGGGTTCAAGGTTTGCACGTTGGTGTTAGGGCGTTCCTGCCGCGAGACCCTTTCAACCCTCTCCTTAAACCACGATTGCCAAGGCAGTCGACGAGCAGGACTTTTTTTGCTCCGGGGGCCTGTAGCTTGGCGGGTTTTGGCTTTGGGGTTTAGGGTCTATGGTTTAGGGTCTACGGTTACGGTGTAGGGTCTAGGAGCGCCAACAGTAGGAATCAGAGAGGCTGAACTCTCCACCGGATGGCCTTCTTGGACTATCAGGGGTAGCTTGCTGGTGCGTTCGAATATGGGGGTGTTTCTATGAAGGGGGGAGTGCAAAGGGGGGTTGTTGTGGCGATTATGCCCTTAAGCACCAGTAAGACTCAGACCCAGCAAGATGATTCTGAGTTTGCTTGAGATCTTCGTCGTTCCGGAACATAGCAAGCTGCCGATGGCCAGATAGCTAATTAAATCATATCTGCAATTGCGTATCAGACTCCAAACCCTAGACCCTGAATGTTTCTACTCACCCTGCCCACCCTCAACGAGGTGCCTCTCATGTTAGGGATTCCCAAAGCCCAAAAGATGTCAACTGTTCACGTCGCCGGCTTTTCCCGAAGATCTTACGGGCTGAGGCTGTCTTGGAATGTTTTTTGGTTTGGAAAGAATGTAGATGATCAACCTCCGATACTTGGAGGTTCAGGGTACTTAATAACCAGTTATAACTGTAACTACTCATAACCCACTTATGAGCCCCTCAAGTCCCTAGTAGAGCTATAGTTGGGTTATAAGTACACTTGTAATTGGGTTACTAAGCACCAGGAACCTCCAAGCCCTGCAGGAGATGCTGAAAACCGGTGGTGCGCAAGGCCTGTCGAAGTGATAGCTGAGATTGCTTAGCGGCTCTCCGATCTGGATGTGGGTATTTCCCCCCAACTGGGGAGGTACCCTGAATACACCCCCCAAAATAGTACCATCCTTATTCTCGCCCCCAAAGAGTGCCCCTGTTTTCGGAAACTCCCATCACAGGCTGGGCACAGATGGCATTGCCCGTGCCGGGCTTCGTGGAGCTTGCAGCTTTACAGCTCTGCGACTTGCCTTTTCACGGACTGGGTTAAGGGTTTAGGGTTTGGGGTTTGGGGTTTAGGGTTTAGGGAGAGGTGGGGGAGCGAGGGGAGTGTGGGGAGGGGGGCCCAGGGGGAGGGGATGGCGTTCAGGGGTTTGTGCCATGTTTGGGTTTGAGAGGGTTCGGGGCGTAGGGCTTAGGCGGGGTCCGCGTTTAGGGGGGGTTGCTGCTTGAGGCTTCTGAAGGTTCCTCGGGCCATTGATGTTTAGAAGTAAGGTTACAAGTAAAGAGCCCTGTATCAGAACTCCCATGATATGGTACGTTCTCGTGATTTGTATTCCTAGCCCTGAACTCTTCAAGTAGGACTCGGGGCTGGGATACTGTGTCTGGAGTCGACGTCGCTTCTTGTCCGAAACCATGTCTCCAGGCCGTGTCTAATTCCCGAGGCCTTGCATGTCACCTTTACAGCCCCTCAGCAAAAAAAACCCAAAGCCTCAAGCCAAAGAAACCCAAAGCCTAGGCCCGAAATCACCCTGGCAGGCGCATGGGAGGACCTCCCAAAGGCTAACGACATGGTGCAGCCGGCGTTTGAACTGTTGAGCCTGATGTATCACACGAGGCGCATGTCGTTCAGACGTTGATCGGGTTTCGGAGTTGAGGGCTTGAGAGTTTATGTATTTAGGTATTGGGATGCATTGGGCCTGAAGATTTTGGGGATTTAGATCCGCATGTTCTAGGCCCTACTGTTGAAGCTGAAGAGTGGCGGAGGATCTGGTTTGGGACATATTCCACTGGGTGAGTTTGCTGAAATTCACATCTGATGTTGGGATGAAGTTTGTTTGATGCAGCTTGCAGTTAGGCTTTAGGGTTTAGGGTTTAGGGTTAAGGGTTTAGGGTTTAGGGTTTAGGGTTTAGGGTTTAGGGTTTAGGGTTTAGGGTTTAGGGCTTTCTGGACAGCTGCACTGCCAAGAGCAAGCCTGAATCGGGGTCCCCACACCCTTTTTGTCCTCAAGCCTAGGACTAGACCTGCTGGGTTTCTTGTTCTTTGGGGTTTAGGGTTTAGGGTTTAGGGTTTAGGGTTTAGGGTTTAGGGTTTAGGGTTTAGGGTTTAGGGTTTGGGGTTCAAGGTTTGGGGTTTAGGGTTGTACGTTTCCACGGAACGTATGCATTCACATCGATGTTGTCGCGTCCAAAAAATACTGTAGCGATGTCATGGTGACGCCTTCTTGTCAGTGTAAGGTAGCTTCCGGATGTAGGGTTGAGGGGTTTGGAGCTACTGTGCGGTTTAGGGTTCATGGTCGTGTTTAGTTTTGAAGTGGGTATGCATACGGTATGAATCACGATGCCTACAACCTGGACCCCTGGATCATTCTCACACACACACACACACACACACACCACCCGCTGATTTAAGGATTTGGGTTTAGCTCTCTTTCTCTCTTTTCTCTCTTGCTCTCTTGCTCTCTTTCTCTCTTTCTCTCTTTCTCTCTTTTCTCTCTCTCTCTGCACAGAGAGTTTCGCTTCGGTTGCTTGGCGTGCGCATGTGGAGACGTCTCGACTTGGCTGCGGTCCTTTGCTGCACGCAGGCGCCAGTACACGGGCAGCAACGGCCCCCTTTTCATGGACGAGATCTCGGCGAAGAAGCTCCACGACGCAGCTGCCCTGCAGGCAGAAGATGTTTTCTAAGTTCATATATTGGGCTCGGAATAGTTACAAATAGTATTCCCTTGTCTGGCTCCTTTATGAGTATAGTATAGTAACCCCCAGAACCCTATTCTAATTATTCAGGCCCCTACATTACCCTTAAGCCAAGTGGCGCTCAGGCGTAGGCTGAGCTGCTCATGTCTGTCTTGGAGGTCTTATTATCCCGGGTGCCTGCGAGAAAGTCCGTTCTCTGGACCCAGAAACCACTTAGCAACCCTTAGCAAGTCCTGAACCTTGTGACACCCTGAGCCACCATTGCTGAAGAGCCACCAAAACATAGAAGATGAGCATCCCCATATTGCCCGTAGAAGTCGGAAGATGTTTTTTTTTTCCTTTTTTTTGGGGGGGGGGGGGGGGGGGGGGGGGGGGGGGGGGGGGGGGGGGGGGGGGGGGGGGGGGGGGGGGGGGTGTGCAGCTTAAATAGGGTTTATTTGGAAGCTGGCACTCGTGTTCACAAGAGGAAAAAAGGCCCCAAAACGTATACTTATTTACAAGAGCCAACTTCCAAATAGACCCTATTTTAGGTCCTAGGGGGGGGTCCCAGGCCTGAATTAAATATGAAGGCCCCGATTTAAATATGAATATTTAATTCTGGAGCTTCATATTTAAATTATTTAATTCGGGCCCGGGAATTAAATAATTTAAATAATTTAAATAATTTAAATAATTTAAATAATTTAAATAATTTAAATAATTTAAATCCTGGAGGGGGGGGGGCCGGGCCTCCTCCCGCAGGAAGAATTAAATAATTTAAATATGAAGGCCCCGAATTAAATATTAATATTTAATTCGGGGCCTTCATATTTAAATTATTTAATTCCTCCTGCGGGAGGAGGCCCGGCCCCCCCCCCTCCAAGATTTAAAATATTTAAATTATTTAAATTATTGATATTATTTAAATTATTTAAATTATTTAAATTATTTAATTCCCGGGCCCGATTTAAATAATTTAAATATGAAGCTCACGATTTAAATATGAATATTTAATTCGGGAGCTTCATATTTAAATTATTTAAATCGGGCCCGGGAATTAAATAATTTAAATAATTTAAATAATTTAAATAATATCAATAATTTAAATAATTTAAATATTTTAAATCTTGGAGGGGGGGGGGCCGGGCCTCCTCCCGCAGGAGGAATTAAATAATGTAAATATGAAGGCCCCGAATTAAATATTAATATTTAATTC